CTTTGCACAAGCCCGTTGGAAGCACCCTCTCGCCCTTCCGCACGTGCAGGGCTCACTATCTCGCTCGCTCGTTCTTCGCCCAAAAGGCGTTTTATTTTAACATTCTTGTGAAACTTTCACAAGAAGGGTTACCGCTGCTAGGGAAATTTCCCTTTCCTATGGAAATCAGCGAAGGTCTAGGGATATATGGATTTCACACGAAATCTAGGGAAATACCACAAACCCGAAAATTGTTGTATTTTTATGTATCTGTAAGAATCTTGGTATTTTTCAACAATCGAAATCATTGTTGTCATGAATTATTCTTCCGCATGTCATATCAAATACCTAAATATAAGAACATTTTTCACAAAAGGTTTGATACTCTCGTTTTAAAGATATAAAAGGAATTACATTTGTATGCATGTATAAATAATTCTTGCTAATATTTCAAAGCAAACTGCTTCCATGCTTTGTACCATTTCGGGTGCGGCTAATTTTTTACATCAAAGTTTTTGTTTTGGCGTGATTTTTAAAATTTCTAGCGCATTTCAATCCTTTACGGTCAAACTGACGGCATGCAAAATAATGCATCGACTCGTCTCTTATCGCCAGCACTACCGCTACCCATACGGTAGTTTCCCGCGTCCCGCAACACACAATTTGCGATATACCACCCACTCAGTAGCGGCGGAACGCCTCCAATTAAGGGGGGGGCACTGCCGACTTTTGGTCCCATTCTTTCCATGCAACGGCCATAGGGCTAATGTTAAAATGCCAAAATCAAAGACGGGCACGATGCCCCGGTGCCCTCCCCGTTCCGCCGCCTATGCAACCACTTATATTATACCACATACAGTAATTTGCTATATGCCAGCATTTTCATTAGAATCTCTTACGTTAACGTTACAGAATGTAGTCAATTGCAGTTTTCGGACGCAGCGACTATAACACGAATGGTTAAAATGAGGAAAGGACGTCAAATTCCATGAAAATAACCGCATCTAGGGAAATGATTTTTAAAATAGGGGAATTTTCGTGAGAATCTGGGGAAACCAGCAAGACGCCAGCGGTAACGCTGTGAAAGGTTGAGAGTCTTGTCCGTCGCATTCTAACTGCATCATATCGTGAAAATGAGGCCGTTTGCTGCCGCCCTTGCCGTTTTCTTTTTCGTTGTAGTGGTGACAACAGAAGACAGCGATTCAGCTGGTGACGATACGGGTGATTCGTCAGAAGAAGTCACCACCACCACGACGGAGCCGGTAAGTTCGTGGTAAATATACTGGTTAATCAACTCTTAGGTTAATGTACTGGTAAAAATTGTTGGCATCTCACCACACGTAACGCGGTTGGTAGTTGGTGAGGTGCAATTAGGTTGGTAGTTGTACAATTCACGTTAACAGTAACTGATATTTGTAAATGCTTCGTACAATGACCAGCTATCTAATTCTACGCTTACGTAAGATATTTGCCATATAAATTGGGTACCTACCTACCAGCTTTTTGGTATGCCGATTCTAAATCGTTACCAACTCGGTTATTAGTTTTTCAAGGCCAATGCATTTTGTAGGTACCTATTGAATTGTTATTATGAGTCCTCACTAAAAAGAGGCTGTCGGTCTGGCGAAAATTCATATTATCCTGATAATACAAAGTCGGTTAGATTTCGGTATTTATGCATAGCTATTGTTGGAAATTGGCTTGGTATCGGTACCACGATTTTATATAGGTAATTGACACCACTTTTTATGCCGTTTTCATTAAATTCACAGAGTATTTGCCCGGAGGGGTTCGACTTCTGCAACGGCACGTGTTTTTCGACCACATTTACTGACGACTCTCCATTTGCAAACGCCCAATACTGTTCCGGCCCCGGTGAACGTCTGCCTCTACCGAACACCATCCAACAGCTGCAGTGTCTCGTAGATATAGCCAGCCAGAACCCTGTCCTCGCCGGGTATGGCGATACCGGTTTTGAGTTCCAGACTCCCGACGGGTTAACCCTCGCATGTGTAGGGGGGGGGGGGTCGGATGGACCCCCCCCCATGGTTTTTCGCGAATAACTCGCGTAAAAAGCGGCCAATCGCGACGAAACTTTCAGTACCCTCGCATTGATCAATTTTACACCTACCCTGAAAATTTCATGACCCTGACCCAAATGACCTTTGACCTGTGACCTCTTTTCCGAGACCATGTTTGGCCGGAATCGCGATTTCGCGTATGTCGGCTCGCACTAGCCGTGTGTTTGCAAGCTTTTCGTGGTTTCAAACGTTCAAACATGTGATTTGATGTTACTCCCGTGTGTGTCAAGGTCACCTGAAGGTCAGGTCAGGTCATTGACCTTTGGTGACCTCGGGTGACCTCGGGTCACTTTTTCGAGTTTTACATGTTTCTAGGCTAGTTTTTGGAGCTGAATTCGAATTTAGCAACCATTTGAACATTTACGAAGTAGTTTTGGTGACTTCGTAACATGTTACGAAGCTGTCAGAGGCGGTTGACACGTACTACGAATACCCGTCACGACGCCTACTGGTTGACCTGACCTGACCTGACCCGACCTGGTCTAAATGCTTCAAGACATCATCGGTGATCAAAACTAACACGATATTTGTGATCAGCACCCCGAAAAACCCCTTAGCGGCCACACTTTACGACTTTCTAACAGGTCCCGATTTTCCCGACTTTGGGTCATTGACCTGACCTGGAAGGTCAACCAATGACCTAGGACCTTAAAATTGGGTATCATCGGCTTCCTCTCGTCACGGGCAACACGCTCGTTTTTTCCGCGAAGCTCTAGCTCGATCAGGGGCCAAACGGCAAGGGGGGGGGGTCCAACCGACCCCCCCCCCCTACACATTAGAAGCTGGCAAACGCCGCACACATGCGAGGGTTAATTGTGGCGCCGAATGAGCTAGTGGGCTTGCCCGGTCCAAATGACAACAGCTTCTGTGTGACAGTTTCGAGCAGCCAGGTGAAACTGGTGAGCCTCTGCCCTCTGACTGTCAGTTATGTGTGCGAATTCCCGCTGAATGGTGACTCGACTAAATAGGTCTGCGTAGGTGGTATTTACCAGTGGCCTGTGCACCGTGCGTAACGCACAGTGTGCAGACCCATCCGTCTATCAGACCAAACTAGACCAGGTCTGACCATCTCCAGACCAGCGCAGACTGAACTAGCAGGAACCGGACCAGAGCCAGATCAGACCAGACCAGAGACAGACTGGACCAGACCAGACCGAACAACAACTGAAACAGATTCATGCCAGATCACCGCCTGGGTTTACTTTGTGTGTAGGTATCTTTCATTTTAGTTGCGGGCAAACACACTACCCAATGACAGGAGTGTATCAGGGTGGGTCGCTGAGCTGTCTGCTATATGCCATTTACGTTAACGATATGGGTCTGTATATTGACGGAGTCGAAATCATTCAATACGCTGATGATACGCAGCTACTCATATCTGGCAAAAAGAGACACCTGTCTGATATGATTGTGAAACTTGAACGTGCCCTTAGCCAGCTTTCAGATTGGTTTAACGAAAACCGTCTCAAAGTGAATGCAAGCAAAACGCATATGATCGTCTTTGGAACCAAGGCGATGTTAAAAAACCAGCCGAGCATATCAGTCAATTTTTGTGGAACAACGATTCAGGAATCGAGAGTGGTCAAAAACTTAGGGCTTTATATGGACAGGCACATGACCTTTGTAGACCACGTCGACCACGTAGTGGCAAAGTGCAGCGGCAGTCTAGTGGCGCTGACTCATGCGAGACATTCTCTGCCGAGGGCATCATTGAAGTCAATAGTCACTGCGCTGGTCATGTCCATCATTAGGTATTGTGTGTCGATTTACGGCACGTGCAGTAAGACGGAACTCCAAAGAATTCAAAAAATCATAAATTTCGGTGCCAGAGTCATCAGTGGAAAGAAAAAGTTTGATCACATTTCTGAAGTACTCAAGAGTCTCAACTGGCTGTCGTCATCTCAGCTGGCGCAGTACCACCGGGCACAGATGGTTCGCAGAGTCGTGTCATCGGAGTTGCCAGAAACATTGTACTCGATTATCGCTGCCACAGACCACAGACATGAACATCAAACACGACACAACAACCAGCTGCGGCCCCCTGCCATTAGAACGGAGACTGGCAGGCGCCAACTCGCGTACAGCGGAGTGAAACTGTATAACGACGTGTGCCAAAACAGACGTGTTCGAGAGTCTTTCAGGACGGCGCTGTATCGGAACATGAGGGCTTAATCCGGTTAGGTGTGTGAATGTTGTATGGTGTTCTGTTTTGAAAGCGTGAGAGTGGCTTGTATCCCCTTTTATACTCCTTTTTATTGTGTTTTAAAAACAGACGTGTACACGTGAAAAGCCGAAATGTCGGATCTTGTGCGAAATAAATGTCTATTGTCTATTGTCTATTGGGCACGGGGTGCGGCTGTCTACCCGTAATCCATGTAATCTGTCCATGTATTTTTTCTTTCTCCATATCGTGTGCCTTCCAAGAATAGCAGCTCCCTCTTTTTTCGCTCTTTCGTTTTCCCCTTGATCGTAACACGTGTGATAATGCACTTAAGTTAGGTATGTGGTTTATTGCACTCAAAGTCAAGGTTCGGGTAGGCGTGTCATTACACTCTGAGCTGACATACATGTGTGAATATACACCCATTCTGTGTATCTGCGTTGAAATAAAACGGGAGTTGGAATGAGTACCTATCACCATTCGCAATACACTTAGTTTGTGGCTTTGGATACGCTTGTAACAGTACACTTAGGAAATATGCGAGCTAAATGACACTCAGAATGAGTGTGGGTGTGTTCCAACATCTACATTGTCGCCAAGGTGGTCTTCCTCCAAAGCGACGTGTGGTGAGGAAGGGGGAGGGGCAAACTCTGACTCTGTAGTAGGATTGCTATTGCCTTGCATATTTTTTTTGCAGTTCAAGTGCCAATAAGGAATGGTGTTGAAGAAATAGTGTTGCGTCCTAGTTCCTTCATTTGACACGGTCTATTGAAACACCACAAACGGATGTGCATTTATTACAAACGTGGCTGGGCATTCGAGTATTCACAGCAGAGATCGCCACAATCATATACAACGCTATTTAATCGCTTTGTCTGGTATTCCGAAATGGATAGAGGTATAGAATGGAGATTGGAGAAAGGGGGAGGAGAGAGAGAGAGAGAGAGAGAGAGAGAGAGAGAGAGAGAGAGAGAGAGAGAGAGAGAGAGAGAGAGAGGAGAGAGAGAGAGAGAGAGAGAGAGAGAGAGAGAGAGGGAGAAAGTAAGAGAGAGACATGTTTGGTAATATTTGCGTGGATAAACAATTAAGCATTCAAAACAAGAAATCAAAAATTACGATACAATATCGTGATATTGTCGATGCAAGTTATGCATGGACTTTCTGCAAGGCATTCATCTAAGTTTGCATAATACATGTCTAAAATTTCAGCAAACATTGCAACCATCAAGTCCTAAAACAACGTTTTGTCACCTTGCTAGAACACAATGTTCATGACACGTATTACTTACAGAGCTAAGGCCACAGGTGATACAGTTATCAGCATCCAAAACACATTCAATTCACGCTTGCTAGCCGGCATCGCTAGCCGGTATTCGATAAAAGTGAGTAAGCATTGCCGAGCGCAATTGATCACGACGCCTCAGTGGACGGATTGTGGTTGATTGATCAACGTGGACAGATTGGGTAAATGGACGGATTGGTTGAGGTTAACGGACTGAGTGATGTGGACAGATATGTTCGAATAACATAATCACACGCGACATTTAGGTAGTGCAGTTCCGTTCAACAACGGACTAAGTCATCATTTGACATAATGTGGTCGAAACCAAACTGGATCTCGCTGAAGGCATCGCTAACAATTAGTGTGAAGTTGCCTATTATCTTGCTTGTACATGTTACACATTTCATCATTGCATAGTGCATTCTAAACGATGTAACGAAAGCTTCAGAAAAAGGATCAAATGACATAGACACAACAACATTGCACTAGAAATGGTATTTTTTCACATTCATCCAGACCAATAAAGGGCAAATGAAAATGCAATGCATGTGTTGTGTGCACGCCTAATTTTTCATAATCCTCTGCTGCACACATACTTGCACGGTCTCGCTTCACAAACAGAGTGTATAAATGCACAAAAATAATTGCATATGTTCTTTTACACCTTGCATGACTGTTCGCCGCAGTTTTTACTAAGCCTGATCACCCAGCAAACTGACCTAACCTCCGCGCGAACGTCTCCTGAAATCAATGCATCCGCATCTCCTCAAAACATCAAACAGCGTGACCTTCTCTACACATCAGCTTCATGTGGCGTATCGCTCCTCAGACGATGAGTATGAACATCATCATAGGCAATGGTGAAGATACTCTTCTTCTCCAGGAACTGGTTCTTTTTCTTCCTTACCCCAGGAACAAGTGTCGAGGAGATATTGGAGCCAGTATCGTCAGGCACAAATCGCCGGACATCTTCTTCGGGGATATCCTGACTCACAGGAGCACGCGCGTTGACGTCAGCGAAGCCGCTGTCTCCGCTGACGCCGTCACTGATGTCAGATTGATGACGTGGGAGACTTGAAGGGTGGTGGTCTTCGGCTCCCTCTGCGATTGCCTCAGCAATGTCTGAAGGACGGTGGTCGGAGGAGATGGAAGTCACGTGTTCTGGGTTGGCTGAAATGTTTGCCTTTGTGGTTGCTGAGTTGGCTGATTTTCCGGAGGCGGTGGTTGGTTCGTTGCCGCTACTGGCAGCTTGCTCCGATTTGTTCTTGCTGTCTTTGTCGCTTTTACTGGATTTGGTTTTGGATGAAGATGATTTGCTGTCTGTTTTCTTGTCACTTTCTGCGCTTGTGTTTGACTTCGACTCCTTAGCAGATTTATCTTTGTTTGCATTGTCAGTAGATTTTGTATCGCTGTTTTTCTTTGATCCTGAGGACTTTGATGATTTAGTTTTTCCCTTGTCTTGTCCACCGTCGTCTCTCCCATTTCCCCTTTCGTCAGAGGACTCCCTAGTCTTCGATTTGTCATCACCGTTCGCCTTTGAATCCTGAGATCCCTGTTTCTTCAGTGCCTTGCCGTCTTTCGATTTGTGTTTTTCGCTAGCATCCTTCATATCGATCTCAAACGTTTCGCCCTTACGTTTGTCAGCAGATTGTTTTTTGGAATCTTTTGAAGAGCGTTTTGATTCAGCTGATGTGTTTGAATCAGACTGACCCTTGGAAGGTTTATCATCACGACTGGCTACTGATTTGCCCGACAGATTTTTGGTGTTGCCGCTATCGGAGCTTCGCTTGTCATCGGAACCCCGTCGGCTTCCATTTGTCCCGTTTGATCCACGTCTTCCTTTTCCTTCATCGGTTATATCATCGCTGTCTCGCCGCGTGCCATTCTGTCGATGCGAACCGCTCTTTCTGCTATCACTCTGTAGGTCATCACTTCCTCGACGTTTTTGCGAATTCTCTTTTTGTTCACTTCCTCGCCTAGGATCTTCGTCTCTGTTTTTGCGATTTTGGTTGCTTTTCATATCTCTGTCATCCCTTTCGTCGTAATCGTCACGCCCACGATAGTAGTCATCTCGCCCTTGATAGTCATCATCCTCACTTCTTTTATTGCCATTTCGCCTTCGTTCAGATACACCTTCCCTCATATCCTCTTCGTCTCTTCTTCGATCCCCATTTTTCCTTCCTCGTTGCTGGCCATTTTGCTCTTCGTCTTGATAGTTGTCTCCTTCATCCTGATTTCGTCGCCTTCCACGTCTTTCACCGTCGCCATCTTGTCGTCTAGCATCGACGTCCCTGTCTCTTCGTGCATCGCCGTGGTAACCGCCTCTTTCGTTTCTATCATTCCTTCCATCCCAGTCCTCTCGCTGTCTTCCATTTTCATCTCTACGATTCCGACCATTGTCTCTTCCTCCGTCATCAACGTTCTCTTCACGACTGTATCTGCCTTCATCTCGCTCTTGACGTCCTTTTATCTCCCCGCGATCATCCTCAAACCTATCACTTCTTCTCTCCCCTCCTCGTCTTTCTCCTTGGCGCATGCCATCCACGTTTTCGCCTCTCTCATCATCCCTGTTCCTCTGCCTTCCATACGATCCAACTGAATCATCCCTTCGTCTTGGTCTTGCTCGGTCTTCCACACCTCTTTCACGACTATCTGTTCGAGTGCGTTCACGTCTTGGACGACCTTGCGATCCAGCTGATCCGACCCTCTGCAGTCGATTGCTGTTTATCATATGACTACTAAATTGGAGACTCAACTGGGAACCTGGACGAGAATCAGCCAGTCTCCCAGGAATGGGCCCTCCAGCGTGGTCCCTTCTAGGTGGTTCCCCTTCGTCCGTGGAGCGTCTTCGACCTCGGGGGGGTTCCACGGGCTCGCGGTGATACTCAGGATCCTGACTGCGGCTTCGCTGTCGGCGGTATTGTCGTGCGGGGTTGAGCTCAGAGTTGGGAGCTCCTTCAGTGGCACCGGCTCGTCTGCGGCGATCCTGGGAAGGAGACGGGGAGTTAGAGACGTGGGGGAAGGAAAAGGGAGAAGAGAAGTTGGACAGGGGCGAAGAGTAAGTGAAATAAGTGTTTGGAAGTAGGAGAAGAATAACGAAGATGGAAGGGAAGGAGGGAATACATCAGTTCAATACATCAGGAAGGAGGGAAGGTGGAATATAAAAAGGAAAAGTTGGACTGTGGATAGGAGTGGCAGGATAAGATGTGAAGAAGGAAGGAAAATCATCAAAGATGAAAAGCGAAGAGAGAGAGAGAGAGAGAGAGAGAGAGAGAGAGAGAGAGAGAGAGAGAGAGAGAGAGAGAGAGAGAGAGAGAGAGAGAGAGAGAGAGAGGAGAGAGAGAGGATACGCACTAGTACCTCAGGATTGCTGCGCGGTTTTAATATCTAAGTATATGCTTAAAAAATGAATTTTGCTTCTCTCATCGGCTAGGCAGCATGACTGACGCACTTACAACTCATCGAAAAGAAATTAGAGGTTTGAACGTCATACTTTGGCTTTTCTCTGAGGTACTAACTCCGCAGAAATTAGGCTTGTTCCTGCTGATACAATAAATTGGAATGGCTACTAATATGAAATAAGAATAAACATGCCGATCAAAACAAATATTTGTAATGGCACTTGTTTACATCATTCAGTCAGCACTAATCATACTTTGCCATTGAGAATTACAGCATGCAATACCATTATCTATCTCGACTCGAGCTAACCAAGCCAGTGCATTAGTTTTCAAAAAGAAGTAATTAGTCCTTTCATGCAAGGAGAGGAAGTGGGGAAGACATGAAGAAACCACGAAGAACGTTGGATGCTTCGTCTCCAGATCGGATGGCACACTTCCAACTGCAACTGTTCCCAACTGTTCAGAGTGCATGCCAACTGCCAACTGCATCCTGTCTACGGTTCAACTGCCATGCCAACTTCTATCTACTTGATTCTTTAGAGTACTGTACCTGAACAGCTCTGGCGTGCTGTAACCGTCTCTCATACATCAACTGTATGACACTCTTTGCTCTACCGCCAGCATTCCACACCTTCATCGCACTCGCTTCTTGCTCATTTTTGTCTTCATTGCCATTCTTATTGCCCTCCTTCCCGACCCTGCCTTCATCCTCTCCTTTCTTGAAATCCTTCGTGATTCCTACTTCCTTTCTCATTTCTTCACTCTCTCCGATCCGTTTCAGCTTGATGGACTTCCGTCTTTTTCTAGCTAAGTGAGGGCCTGATCTGCCCAACTGCTGCTGATGTTGTTGATGTTGATGTGAGGCCAGCAAGCTCTTCCTTCTTCGGAGCAGCGAGGCCTTCGTCTGGGCGTACACGGTGTCCGGTTGATCTTCAGGAGGCTGAGACATCTGTGGTGTGTGTGAAAGAGTGCAGTGGTTAGGAGGGATGCTAGGTGGGCTGTTTTTGGGCTGTACGTCGATGAGTGGTAAGTAGTCAGTGGTTACTGTCAACTCAGTAATTAGTGATAGTTAGTGGCTATTGCGATCAATGTTGTCTGTGATTTGTTAGTAGTGGTTAACAGTCAGTTGTCGGTAGTAAATGGGTAGCAAGACGTCAGTTTATCAGTTGTCACTGGTCATTGGTTTTGGACTTTTGGTCGCTTATAACTGTTCAGTGGTGAATAATCAATCGCAAGGGGTCATTGACTAGTAGTTCCCAGCCAGTGGGCAGCAGTCAGTGGTTAGTTAGTGGTCAATGGTTTGTAGTGACGGATCAGTGGTCAGAGATTGATGATCAGTGACTATTGGTGAGAGGTCAAGTGGTCACTGGTCAGTAGCTACTAGTGGTCAGTAAACCCTGGTCAGCAGTCAGTGAGCAGTGGTCAGTGGTCAGTTATTCAATAGCTAGTAGTCAGTAGTCGCAAACCCTGGCTAGCAGTCAGTGAGCAGTGGTCAGTGGTCAGTGCAATAGCTAGTCGTCAGTGTTCAGAAGTCAGCCGTCAGCAGCTAGTAGTCAGTAGTCAGTAAGACCTGGTCAGAAGTCAGTGAGCAGTGGTGGCAGTCACACTGCAGCCTGAGAGTAAAAAAAAAAAAAAACATCGGTGGATTATGGAAGCAAGCAGCACTCACATCCATGACATCTGTGATCAGTCAGTGAAATGTGACAGCGGGCAGTGCCATAAGTGAGCGTACATCAAACAGTGAGCATTTACAGAGAGGCCCAGGCGAAAAGCGTATTCACAGCACATCGAAGCACGATTCTTAGCAGGTATTATAGCCAAAATTGATAACGACAAAGCATCAATGAAAAATTAGCCGCCGTATGTGCAGCATTCAATGATATTAACTAAATATTCTGGGAAGACTCGCCAAATGAATAGCAAATGCAGTTCTGAAAATAATACTCGTAAAATCAATTAGACTTACGAATTTACGTATTACAATAAGCAAATACGTCCATTCTGTTTGGGAATCTTCCAAATTTACCGTCTATCCCATATGCCTTTAACTCCTTCCGCTTCCGCCAAGTGATCCATGCTATTAGTATTTACAGTCCTCATTAAATTTTAATCACCAGTCAATTTATATTCCATAGCATATTTTTTTGTGGTTAAGCCCCTCCCACCTCTTTTCTAACCTGTCTCCCTTTCCTCACTGGCGTACCTCTCGGTCCTCACGGTCCAGAACACTGGCAGTTTCTTCTTGTATCGGCGCCCTTATCGCCAGCGCCTCTGCCTCAGTGACGTCACCGACTCGCCGCTGTGACGTCACGGTGGCAATGCCGCCCGGCTGCCGGCTGTGGTAGGGGTAGTCGGAGAGGCCGGAAGGGCCGGGCTCGGCCGGGCTGTGAAAGAAGTGGGTTTGGTTATGAAATGTCATGTAGTTTAGCGATATAGGTAACATAAGAATTCGGTAAGACGATGCGATGACACGATAAATTGAGGAAGCCTGTCAGATTTTCCCTGCTACAAAACGAAACCGGAAAAAAGTTATTCAAGTTTTTTCTTTTGAAACATGTAATGGGTTGTCAAACGGCTGGAATCGATAAACACCATTCATCGATTAATCAAAGTTCCTGTATTATCAAACCCCATCAGCCCAACTCTTCACATTGGGCTACATGTGTGTTGTTCTTGTTCAATGGAACTCCAAAGAAATTCTCAACCCTTACCAACATGAAAGTCCTACATCACGAAACTCCCATAATACTCCTAACGACACCCGCACTGTACCAGGAAGATAAGCTAATGACCCACCCAGTTTTCATCCCTCCCATCTATGTATCTTACAAGACATCAGTTATCATAGCTCACATACCTCACATGCCCACCATCGCTCACATCGCTCAGTAACGGCGGAACACCTTCAATTAGGGAAGGGGGGCACTGCCGACTTTTGGTCCCATTCTTTCCATGCAACGCCCATATGGCTAATGCTAAAATGCCAAAATCAAGGGGGACACGGTGCCCCGGTGCCGTTCCGCCGCCTTTGACATCGCTCACATCTCTTACATCTCCCACCCCTTCTCACCCTGCACCATCTCTCCCAATGAAGCGTTGCATCAACATAGCCTTCCCGCCGCCATCGTCCATCCCTCGTCGGCCATCTTGCTCTTCCTCCTCTTCTCCATCCTCTTCGTGAAGCACGAGGACCTCGCTGCGCGTCCGGTGGTGTCGGTCTTTTCCAGGGGTTCGGTCACTCAGTCGCAGTCGACCGGAGCCGTATTGGATATCAGAGTCGTCTCGAGGACGACCGCGGTAGGTGGGGCGTTCTGGAAGGTACGGTTCATGTTAGTTTCAAGAGAAAGCTACGGTAGATGTCAGTTTTTGAGGAGGATCCGGTACAGGAGAGGACAGTTTTTAAGCTAGGTGTGGTGTGGTATATTTTGAACCTGTCACTAGAATTCAGGTATTTGAACGTTGAGCTGAGCATTGTTAATAAGATTATTAGAAGGATGAATAACCTGTTGCTCATTTCTATCAGAAATAGAAAAAATAAACTTACAAAGTGCTACTGAATATCTGTAGTAGTAGTAGTAGTATCTGAATAGCCTATAGTACAAAGTGCTATTCTTGGTATAGGCTATGGTGACAGTATAGGCTATGGCGAATATCATGCCCCGATGTACAGGACGATGATTCGTTAAAATGACCTATCTAGGCATATAAATGTTGTTATGCAAACCGAGCTTACCTGTATCGTATTGAACTGTACCTATATATATATATATATATGTATGTATGTGCCATATGTATGTACTGTGCCACCATTTATTAGCTATTTATTACTATCTAAATCTAGATCGACGCCTATCTTGGAAGCGCATGCAAAATATCTGTGAGTGATTTGATTCAAAATATTGTATTTTGCCTCATGTGTGTCACATACGTCTCTCTTGTTTTATTGTGATCTTGTACCACTGAAGAAGGGCCACGCCCGAATATATATTGGTTTATTTTTTCTATTTCTGATAGAAATGAGCAACAGGTTATTCATCCTTCTAATAATCTGTCACTAGAAACTAGTTATGACATGTGTCTCTCAGTCTCCTCATTCATGGGACGCCTGAAGTACTTCTGCCCTGTGAGAAGATGTGATATACATTTTCGGCACACACTTCAGCATATTAGCCGACAGCCGTTATACCTAGGTATCACAAAATGATAATGTTGTTCTGGTCTCTAGAAACAAGGAATGCTTGTCAGTGCGGCAATTTTGTAGAAATTCTCACATCTCTTTGTTTCTAGCAAACTCCAAACAAAGCAACTCACCGATCTCGTTGCCGTCCTCATCTATATAGACTTCTCTACGCCTGGGGCGGGCGGAGGTATGCAGTCGGAGCGTCTCGCTGTTGCCATGGTGACGGTACTCAGCGTCTCGCCCGCTGTTGTCGTTCAAGGTCAGTACCTGGGAATCACAGTTGCTATGGTAATGCTGCCACTGTTTTTGTTCAAGGTCAGCCACTGCCATGCTGTGCAATAAATGCTATAAAGCGCTGTACGTTGAAGCCAGTTCGTTACCCATATGTATCAACATGTAGCTGTGGTGGAACTGCTAGGTGGTATGGTAGCAACAGAGACATTCGAATATTGTTACTCTTTCGACAACTCATATACCATACGACAATGCCATTTAATTTAGGTATTCCTTCTAAACATCGTGTAGCAAATAGTCATGCTCTCCTGATGATGATGAAGTTTCCGTAGGCAGCAGTGCTGGTGATGATGATGAACATAGTGACGGCGATATTGCTGATCACGACATTCCCCCACTTACCTCAACCGAAGGCGACCGTCGCGCCTGTGGCAGTATGACCGACTGTCTCTCCATCTCTAACCGCTGCAGCTCTTCATCTTCCAGATCCTCCAGTTGGTACCCGACCTCGTCCCCCTCGGCAGCGCGCACCAGCATCGGCCGATCACCACCCATCACCCGGTACATCTTGGGACCGCCCTGGGGGTACATAGGTGGGGGTTGGGTACATAATAGCCGTTTTCACGACGGCCATCTGGTACACATATGATGCACATCTGGTACAGATCAGGTGCAGATTTATTCAAATCAGGTTCAGTGTGTCTCTTAACCCGCGCCCTGCTGGGGGGGGGTGTTTGAACACCCCCCTTGTGGTTTTTCGCGAATATCTCAAAAACAGCGGCGCGGAGCGCCGCCGTTTTTGGTACACCTTATCATACATCAATTCTACACATGTTGTGAAAATTTCAGACCAAGGTCATTCAAGGTCAGGTCACCAGGTCACTTGAAGTGACCTCACCTCATAAAAACTTTCAATGTCTGTCATAGCTACACCGAGTGACCGATCGCTTTGAAACTTTCAGCGATTGCTAAGAGCAATAGCATGTACAAAATGTATATCTCAGAATTTTGATATCGATGACCTAAGGTCAGGTCAATTTTGCGACCTCCCCATTATAAGTCAATGGGAGAAAATTGAAATGCGCCTCTTTTGGATGAAAGACATTATAAACACTCCCAAACACCGAATTACAAGTGGTTTAGACACACTGAACTTAAAAATGGTGTCCGTGACCCTTGTTTATGCCCTGAGGTCATCTTAGGTCACGAATGGTATCTAACAGTTTTTCGCAAATAACTTTTGATAGAGGCATGCTAGAGCGATGAAAACGCCTTAGATGTGTTCAGCTCGACGATACGGATCGACTGATATGCAACATGACCCTTTCCGGTCAGGTCATGACCTTGACCTGAGGTCAAATTTTCAAGTTGACCTTTCAAGGTCAAGTTATAGTTCATTCGATGCGTCTTGACGAGAGGAACACGATGCCGGTAAAAGTAAGCTCGTACAAGGCTTGGGTCAAAAGTTATTGCAGAAAAACTGTTTTCAAAAAAATCGGCTATTTTTGCAGTTTTTGCCCCCTGCAGGCAAAACCGTTGACGTTAGGTCAAATCTGAGAGAATTACTCAGAAAGGGCGTTAATAGGGCTATCGAATGCGCTTTTCCGCGGCGCTGTAGCTCTATTGGTTCCCGAGTTATGCGTTGGCTTCTTGGAAATTTTCGACATTCGACCTGGAAATCGGCGAAATTTTGCCTTCAATGACCTCTGGTGACCTGACCTTTGACCTGACCAAAAAATTGACCGAAGTGATTTCGTCATTATTTTTTACGCTCTTTCGAACGCCGCCTTCTGCGTATCGCTACGTGGCCCAGGAGCCGAGTTACAAGGGGGGGTGTTCAAACACCCCCCCCCAGCAGGGCGTGGAAATCCAGGACCCCCAGCAGGGCGCGGGTTAACAGCTATCAGCTAGGGTTGCACTATAATTGCTTATATGCCTGCTTTGTCGTATTATCAGAGAGCATCATCGATTAAAACACTGAAATAAATTCATAAAATAAAGATAGGTATTTGCTGTAAAAGAAATTAGGTGCAGATTTCGTCAAATCAGGTGCATTCGCCGGATAGTCCGTCGTGAAAACGGCTATTGGGACCATCTTGGTGGGTACGCAGGAGTTGATCACATCTTGGGAGTGGGACCACCCTGGGTTCGGCCTGAAGCCAGATACATAACCACTTAACCTAAACATATTTGATTTACTATTGCCTGTAATCTCTCCTAAGGCATTGCCTTCGGCATTGCACTGCTTCGCATTGAGCTGGTTCCGTGTTTTTTACATAATAACGTCACTATCAGTGACTATGTAATCCCTGGACATTATGCACTCTGGCCCATTCAAGGCACTGGCCATTTTGAACACTGGACATATCGTGCCCTGGACATTATGAACCCTGGCCATTTCGAACACTGGACACATCGTGTCCTGGACATTATGAACCCTGGCCATTTCGAACACTGGACACATCGTGCCCTGGACATTATTAACCCTGGCCTCTTTGAATATACCCTATCTGCAGCCAGTTGGCCGCATTTGGACCATGCAATCCCTGGACATTATGTACTCTGGCCCATTCAAGGCACTGGCCATTTCGACACTGGGCATATCGTACCCTGGACATTATGAACCCTGGCCAGAATGAATGCTCCCCGGGTTGGGTATATCTTGGGACGACCCTGGGGGTTACGTCGGTACGAGTTGCCCGTTGGGTAAATCTTGGGACCGCCATGGGGATGCGTAGGTACGGGTCGGGTATATCTTGGGACCGCCTTGGGGTCTCATACGGGGTGGGTGGATTTTAGAGCTACGCATGGGAACACATTTAGATTGGACTATTTTAGATGGATAGGGGAATGGGGATACATAACGGCCAACAGGGAAAGTAATGTCGATTTTATCATCCTTACACCTCTTTTTATCCCCATCCTCCTTCCCCTCCTCTCTCTCTCTCTCTCTCTCTCTCTCTCTCTCTCTCTCTCTCTCTCTCTCTCTCTCTCTCTCTCTCTCTCTCTCTCTCTCTTTCTCTCTCTCTCTCTCTCTCTCTCTCTTTCTCTCTCTCTCTCTCTCTCTCTCTCTCTCTCTCTCTCTCTCTCTCTCTCTCTCTCTCTCTCTCTCTCTCTCTCTCTCTCTATCTATCTATCTATCTATCTCTTTCCCTTCTCCCTCCTTCATACTTTCCTACCCCTTTCCCATTCTTCTTACCCTTGATGCTCTAGAATTCGTCCTATGAAGGCTCCCAATCTCATTCGGTACGAGAATAATCTGATTATCCCGTGCGCCACGTGCATTTTGTAGCGCCACGTGTCGCGCCATTTCGTCCTCCATCTCGTGGCGCGCCAGCAGCACGTTCTCTCGGCCCGGCTCGTCGGCAGGTGCTTCCATCAGGCGGAGTGTGGAGGAGTGAGAGTTCCTCCGGCCGTTTGGCTGCGTTCGGTATTGTCCGTTAGGCCAGGCGTTAGCTGCTGAAACAGAGCGGAGGGGTTATTGGGTGAAGGTGCTGGTGGTTGACTGTCAGTAAGGGCCAGGGGGTGCCTGTGGTGAAATCATCAAAAAAAAAATCCCATACATGTGTGGGTTTCCCATAATCTGTTTCTGTCTTTTTTCCAGTTAAAAAGTGTTTTATTATATTCAGGAAAACGCGACGTCTTCATAAAATGGAAAGATATCGGAGTCGTGCTTTGCATATAACGCCTCACTGGCTTCACAAGTGAGGCTATACGGTACTATGAAGAGCAACGCATTCCCAATAACGCCAACACTTGCTGAGTTATCTGAGGACCCCAAAGCCACCTGACCTCACGCTTCATGATTCTACTAACTCACCTAAACTCACCACTCACTATTCCACTAACTCACCTAAACTCACCATTCCCCCGTACTCACCTGATCTCACCACTCACCACTCACATTCAATTCACCATTCCATTCATCATTCCGCTAACTCATCTAAACTCACCATTCCGCTAACTCACCTAAACGCACCATTCCCCCTACTCACCTGATCTCACTCGCTGCGCGTTTCCAGACACCGCCCTCCTCATCTGTCGAAGGACTCGACCACTTCGACCGCCCTGGCTCCTCACTCTTTGGTTATTCTCGATACCGACATAGGCCACGGCCTCTTCGTCGTAGTCCTTGGCTTCCTTCTTTCTGTGGAGATGGAGGAAGAGCTGTAACTAGTGGAGAATGGAGATAATGATCATATTTTTTTGGTAACGTTAAATAGCGGAAGGTCGTATATATTATTATCTATACAGGAGTAAAACAAAAGTATACTCAAAAAGCAACTACAGACATTATTCGGCAAACCTTTCCTTTTCTGTAAATACAGAAAAGAGAACAATGCAAAATTTATCAGAAGTAGGAACCTATGTAATATTAGGTTCCTACTTCTGAGAAATTTTGCAAAAAAGCACATCTTAGCCGAAACGCTGCACATAATCTATTCTATGACACTATAAACATATTTACAGCGCCCGTGGCACAACACAAGTATGAGTAATGAGTATATCGCAAAGTTGCTTGTACTCGTAGCACTTATAACCTCACTCACTTATGACACTTATAACTAGCATGGTCTGTAGCACTGAAAACCTCACTGACCAGTGGCACTTATAACCCTGTGTCACTTATAACCCCGCTCACTTGTAGCACTTATAACCCCACTCACTTGTAGCAGCTAAGCAGCGGACAGCAGGTATAGCAGAAGGCACAGTTGTAGCAGCAGCAGCCAATTATGATCGCCAGAAGAATGAACAGTGCCAGCACAATCAGGAGCCAAAACCAGACGTTGTCCACGGTTGCCTGGACCACGGGCCCGGAGTTGCTACCGTTGTCCTGAGGGAGAATGGGAGGGGAATGTGTTAGAGAGATTGTTGGAGAGATGTTGCAAATAATTAAGATAAAAGTTGCGGAGATCTTGCAGAGATGTCATAGACGGGTGACGGAGACGTGATGAAGTTACAGATGATGTGACGTACATGTTTGACACTGCAGAGATGCTAAAGAGATGTAGCAAGGAAGTAACAAACAGGTTACAAAGATGTTAGAGCCAGGTTACAAGAGATGATGCAGTGATGCTGCATACAAATTACGGAGGTCGTTACAGATATGTCACAGAGGCATTACATTGGCAGCGATGCTCATAAAATGACTTAGGTATGACGAAAGTTGCTGTCAAGTGGTGGGCTCTGCCACTGGGGCAAGGGAGAATGATACGCATAAAATGTAAAGGCAAGAGAAAGGCCACCGGAATAGCCGAACGTTTCAATTTTATACGAACAAATGCTTCACAAGACAACATGTTGCCTACAGAAAAATAAAAGTAGTAAAAATGATATCTTGCACTGGTCAAAACAACGAGAAATTAGAAAAAGTCACGTCTTTTATAAAGTGACATTTATCGTCCAGCCACAAATACCTAATGACACGGTAATTGGGAACAAATGAATCGACCTACAGCCCCATGGAAAATCCATTCGGACTAATACTATAGATATGTCATATATGTATATCCATCTTGTAATTAACCCGCGCACCGACGGGGGTCTGCGCCAACTTAGTACCGACGGGGGGGGGGGGGGCGGATGACCGCCCCCCCCCCTGAGATCTCGAGAACGAAGCAAGATAGCGACAAGCGGTAAACGGCATCGGATACGCACGGTCAAGATCTACAATTTTTACAAAGGTCATTTTCAGGTCAGGTCAAAGATGACGTCACAGGGGTCGAAAAAGTCAAAATGGCGGCGCTAAATATGGAGAGAGTTTTTCTCGAATAACTTTCGAATTAGTCAAGATAGGAACAAACTAAGGGCATCATCGTGATCCTCTCGTCAATCCGCATCGAATGATATATATGTTGACCTCGAAAGGTCAAGGTCAAAGGTTGACCTCAGGTCACGTGTCCTCGAGGTCATCATGTATATCATTCGATGCGTCTTGACGAGCTGAACACAATGAGACCATCCACGCGTCTGTATCTTGTTCCTGTACGGAGTTATTGGCCAAAAACCTTTGGTGACCTTTGATGACGTCACATGACCTCACAGCTGCCCAACAGCAAAATAGACCTCAAGGTAGTGAAGGTTGATCGTATATGAAGTCATGTATGGTATATGGGGCCATTCCGACCCGTTTTAGTGGTAAAAACAGGGAGTTGATTTTTCCCCCATTGACTTATAATGGGGAGGTCGCGAAATTGACCTGACCTTAGGTCACCGATATCAAAATTCCGAGATATACAAATTGTAGCTACTAATGACCTAATAACATCCTGCGACTTTCAAAGGCCTCCGACATCTACTGTAGCTCTGGCACGGTGACAAAGTTGCAAAAAAGTGACTTGAGGTTGGGTCATTCAAAGTGACCTGGTGACCTGACCTTGAAAGGTAGGAGGTTCAAACTTGCACACCATGTGTAAAATTGATAAGGAAATAGTCATACCAAATTTCGCGGCGCTACGCGCCGCGGTTTTCCCGCTATTCGCGAAAAACCTCAGGGGGGGGGGCGGATATCCGCCCCCCCGTCGGTGCGCGGGTTAAGCACGTTTTCGTTTACGTACCGCTCCATCGCTGGTAGTTCCTCCGTTCAGTCCCGTGGTGTTGAAGATGGCACCGTACGGACGGGTCACACGGGCCGTGATCACTGTCTGTTCTGCCCTGTGGGAGTAAAAAGGGGGGGGGGGGGAGAAGGGGGTGAGGGGGAGGGGTGAAAATGGGGAAAGAAGAAAGGGTGAGCGAAAGCGAAAGAGACATTTCATCTCTCTTATTTGATTGAAAATACTGTCACTAGCCGCGTTTATATAAGGCTAGTTGCCAGATAGTGGAATTCCGATGACGAGACATTTATTCCACTAACGAGACATTTCAGGCACATTCCGCAAGTTCTGACGACCTATCCGGCCTTCTGGCCGGATAGGTCGTCATAACTTGCGGAATGTGCCTGGAATGTCTCGTTAGTGGAATTCATGTCTCGGTATCAGAATTCCACTATCTGGCAACTAGCCCTATGTAAACACGGCTATTGTAAACGACTCGGTATCAATACTTTTTCAAAATAGTGTCCTTTTATAGTAAAACCGCAGAAAACACAAGTTGAGGCGTATCACACTCGGAATATCAAATGTCAAACCAACGATGTGAACAGTACAAATAACTGGCAGTGAAGGAGATAAGCGAACTCCGTTTAAACGAAATTTGCCGTCAAATTTCGTTAGTTGTTTTTTTTAGATCTCCAGAAGCTTCCAATATGGTCACTGTTTGGATTTATCGTTGTTTTTTCCTATTTCACATGAATGCACGCCCGCTATTCTTATTGCTGCCCCGTCTCCCTGGCTTCTCCCTTGTCCTTAGGTATATTCCCCAGTTCTAACACTGTCCTCTGGTGTGCGCTGTTCTATTGATAGTTATGTTTCTCTGTACCTCCCTCCCTTATACGAATGTATAATTATCCCCTTCCCATCTCGCTACGCACTCCCCACTTTCTTGTAAGTTACTGACTATGGTCCAAAGCAATGAGCTTTTCCCTATTCTTCCTCTACTTTCCTATTCTTCCCTCTTCATCTCACCGCGTGCTGTTCGGCATCTCGAAAATGACAGGTAATTTTGCAATTATTTGGTATTGCAGGGACCATCGATGCAATTAGTCACGTTCTAACATTGCTCTTGTTTCCATTATGATTTTTTTTTTTTACTTTTGCCACGTCCGTTGTGCAAGGTGTCAGTCAAAAACACCGAATGATCCCGGGATCTCGGAAAATTATCCCTCGTTTTCCAGATGCCGAACACACGCACTATTTCACTTCTATCTTCCTCACTAACCTTTGTTGTCCACTGTTTTGGTCGCTGTCCTGTTTGTATGGTTGGATATCGGTGATTTCAGCGGTACCTCCAGTAAAGACAGAGAGCTGTTTCTCCACATCCGCCTGTGAACGAACAGATGTTTGTGTTAGCAGAAACAGCTGCTAACGAACACGTCGTAAACAGCACGTGATTTTAAATGGATATCCACACACGACTAGTGTTTTTTTCCGCTAGGACGTGAATAGAGTAGCACAGGAGCTGACGTAGATACAGTGTATGTAGATGAAGAATTAGTTTTTCTTTTGCGAACACAGATAAAATCCATCAATTACAGTAACTAGGAAAACTACAGCTGTAATACAATTCAAAAATAAAATAGAACTCAATAATGCCTTACAGTGTAAAATGCTTTCGTTTTTCAAGAAATATTAACACAATATTGATTATCAGAGTGAAACTATTGAGCTAAACTAGCCGTTTTCACGACGGCAATCTGGTACACCTTTGTTGCAGATTAGGTGCAGATTCGGTGCAGATTTATCCAAATTAGGTGCATTCGCCAGATAGCCCGTCGTGAAAACGGCTATTACCGCCCCATTCCCGACGTGCTCTGCTCGCCACTCACCAGATTTCGATTGACACTGTCCACATCCTGCTTCACCAGAAACGTCATGATGGTTTCGACTCGGTCTTTTCTGTAGATGTGCACAGGTACTTCACTGAACAGCTGCGGCTCACCTGTAGACGGAGGTGACAGGGATTGCTGAGTGGGCAATTGACAAATATCGACGGCCATGAAGTAGCAGTAGTAAAAAATAGCACACAACAATAGTACATAATTCAATTCGGGATACACCTGTTTGACCTATAATAGTGATTACATGGACTGATTTGGAAATTGACAATGTGTAGGTGGGGTACATAGGCAGTATTACACAGTTTTCGTCTGTGTGCACGATGGAAAAGAAGGAATATCAGAACACTGGCATTGTTACATCAAATTTTCAACGTAAATTATATTGCCCACAAATATTCAGTTTGCTCATTTTACGTTAGGTTTCGCCTTTTCAATAAACAGTCCACCTACCAGCATCATATTATCCCACTTATCAATGTTTATTCATCTCAATGTCCCACCTACCATCATCATGGACCTTGACCTTCAGCTCTATCCTGCCTTCCACCCGGTCACTGCCGCTCTTTTCAAATGACAGTGGTTCGCTGTGCGGCAGCCGGCGAGGATCCCGATCCGACCCAGCTCCTTCTGTGAGCTCCATCGAGACTGGCTTCTTGACGCGGATCTCGCCTGAAGGTGTGAGGGGGCAAGGGAATTATTTTACGCCGATAGCACGTGCGTCGTGCATGGCTCCATCGAGACTGGCTTCTTGACGCGGATGTCGCCTGGAAGAGAAGGGGTTGATGAGGTTATTTTACGCCGATAGCACGTGCGTTTTACCATGGAGACTCGCTTCTTGACGCGGATTCGGCCTAAAAGAGAGGGCAGTGAGGGGTTGCATTATAAGCGGAGTCAATTGCATTTTGCAATTGCAATTGCATTTAGTTGTGTACGGAGGGATTGGGAATAAAAAAGGCAAAAATATCCACGCATTCATACAGTAAAACGATTGCAGAGGAGATAACAATTCGAGCGTAAAAATGTCGAAATGATAAGAGTCTCATTACATGGTGATGCCCGTTCTTTGCTGCTCACTATTTTTTTCGCAGCATTCACGTAGTGAAGGGGCAGTTGGTATGTTTTGACTTTCTCTTATATGGTCTAGCCATGCACCTGTGATTTACCCTTTTGTAAGTATTATCACGTTGATCATTTCCTGATATTTCCTTATTTGGTGGTGTTCCATACCTACCCCTATCGTGTCTTATCTACCTGCCTTGCCACGTTTCATTTACCTGTGGTTTGTTTACGTATCAATGCTCATATCTGAATGATCTGAATGGTCATTATATCTCCGTAACCATGCGTGTGTTTCGTATTCAGTCAATGCTCTCTGATTTACCTGTATCACGATATCAGAGATCATGTATCAATGCTCTCTGCTTTACCTGTATGACGGTATCCGAGATCATGCATCAATGCTCTCTGGTTTACCTGTATCTCGGTTGATGGAGAAATGACCGAACCATTTTCCCCCTCCCTCAAGCCGGTAGGTGAGTTTGCTGTTCGATCCCGAGTCTCCGTCCTCCGCCTGGGAACATACGATGACGTCACAGGATGGACAAATTCATGGACAAAATAATTTTCATTCAAATAGACATTCATGGACAAATAGCACCCATATATCGGAATGCATAAGGGAAATGGGACGACAGTCTCAAAACATTGAATTATCCCGTCGTGAAATATTATCTACATCCTAACGACATTTACTGTAATAGTTAATGTAGACATGACCGAATTAGTTTATCGTTCATCTATAGTATTTGATAAAGTAAATTTGACGGCTTAAAATATAATATTAAAACCGTCGGAAGTCAATAAGGACAAAATGGAATAGCGTTCGCTGCGCAGCGGCTCGTTCGAGTTCCTCGACAGTTCGTGATCTAATTTCAACGTTTTTCCTTGTAAAATGGCATAAGTCAGTATCAACATAAAGCACTTCTGATCACCTAAAATGTAAAATGATAAGCATGCACATCTTACACTAACATGTCAACTGAAAGGCTTTGGCCTATCTTCAATTTTTTTTCTTCAACATTGTCTAATTCCTAGCCTGCCTTTCACCTTAATCCTCTCCGTTTCTGTGATATCCTCCTCTATTCCACCTCCTTCCATGCTTCCCTGTCCTCTCTCTTCCTCCTATTCCTTCTAACTCCTCTTATCTCTAGCTTCTACCCCAAATTTTCCTCTCATTCCTCTTCTCGAACATTCCTCTCCCCGCGTATCCTACTAGTGTAATTCTAATTTATCCTCTTTCATCCTTTCCCTTCCCCTCTTACCTTTCTCATTTTCCTCCCATCCCTCTCCCATTCTTACCTTCCTCATTTTTCTCTCCCTCTCCCTCTCTCTCTCTCTCTCTCTCTCTCTCTCTCTCTCTCTCTCTCTCTCTCTCTCTCTCTCTCTCTCTCCTCACATGAACAATCAGCGGTTCCTCGAAGCCGTTGCCATCGGGATTCAGCTTTCCGTTGTACAGCGTCTTGGTAAACACAGGAAAATGATCGTTGAAATCCTGCACGCTGAGTATGATTGAAGCGCTGCCAGTCAGCTGGGGTCGACCGCTATCCACCGCGTACACTTGAAGCTGGTAATCTGTAACAGAAGAGGGGAGGCAGGTAAGGGGGTAGTCTGTAAAAGGGTAAGAAAGGGACCTGTGAAAGGGGTAATGGAGTGGTTTGTAAAAATGTCAACAGGGTTGCTTGTAAGAGCGTTATATTGTAGAAGGAGTAGGTAAGGGGCTGGTCTGTAAGCGGGGTACGAAGGGGAGTTGAAGTTACCCCTGGAGGTGTACGTGAGGTCGGAGAAGGGTTATATACTATTTAGCATATAACGCAGCGTCATCTGTAAAATGGTGTAACAGGATATGGCTTGAGAGTAGTAAGAGGGTGGTCTGAGAGATGGGAAGGATTTTAGGGGTGTTGTAGGCGGGTTTATGATTGTGACGTTAGAGTTGGTGACATGAAAGTGAGGTTGGGCCGAAAAGCTTCAGATTTGTTACAATTGCTTTCCGTGTGCTACTACGTCACATCATTATGGAAGTATTCTCTAACCATAGCAACCCAATTTACACAGTATATTTTATCTTCGTAGCATGCTTGATTTCAAGAAAAATATAATTACACATTGAGACATCATGACGGGCCGGTTATTACCATCTATCTTCTTTGTCTACTTGAGCAAAGCGTAAACCGTTTTATTCACCTTTATACCAAATGACGCAAGGGGACCCCCAACCAAGACCGCACATCCCCAGAAAGTCTCATTTTATGCCTCATTAGCTGCTCACCTTCCTGTCTCTCGAAGTCGAACTCGTGGTTGTTGAATTTGATCGTAATATCCCCTGTGCTGGGATCTAAATTTAGATCTGCCGCGTTGTCACCCGTCAGTCGAGTGTAGGTGACCCGGCCGGCGTCTGATTGGTCCGCGTCCGTGGCTGATACCTGACGTCACAAAACCGCAAAATCGTATTTATTAGTGACTTATTATAAAACATCGCTTGACACATTCCATGCATTATGGCTGTTGTAACTCATCTATACGTATTATATTATTTCTAGAATTGACAGCGATATTTTTGAACTGGTGATTTCCACAAACAGTTAACCTTCGCCCTGGTGGGGGGGGGGCCATTTTGGCCCCCCCCCCCCTGTGGTTTTTCAGCGATAACTCAGAAACCACTTGAGTTAGCGCCCTGAAACTTTGTATAGCTGTTTATTCAACATTTTTACATCATGTCCTTTTTTGGGGGGTTCGGGTCAGGTCAGGTCAGGTCACAAGGTCACCACAACTGACACCACCTCTAAAAAAGTTCAAAGCTCTCTCAAAGGCACAGCTTTTATCCGATCGATGTAAAATTTACAGTACTTGAAGATGTCACCCAGCTCTACAAAATGGCTATCTCGGATTTTTTATAAATGTGACCTAAGGTCAGGTCAGGTCATCGCTGCTCCCCATTATAAGTCAATGGGAGAATCGAAAAGTAGTTGTTTTTCAGCTAAATCGGGCGTGATTGTTCCTATATTTCGTTATTGAAGTGTCTTGGGTCAGCAAATCACAGCCCATGTGAAACCATTTGGTTGTGACCTCGCTGAGGTCACGCTAGGTCATCTCCCTGGTCACCAGAGGTCACCAGCGGTTTTTCTGCACTTACTTGTTATTGAATAGAGATAGAGACTCCGTTCGACGTTTATCGTGTTTGTCTCGTCAATGCGGATCGAATGATATGCAGCATGACCTATTTCGGTAAGGTCATGACCTTGACCTGAGGTCAAATTTTCAAAATGACCTTTCGAGGTCAAACTATATATCATTCGACGCGTCTCGACGAGCCAAGCACGATGGTGCATGAATCGTTTCTCTATTTTCTCGTGAATGCATGCTATAGTTAAAAACATTTTCAACGAAATTTGCCAAGTTGACCTTGCATGACCTCTGTAGGCCAAACCGTTGAGCTGAGGTCAAATCTGACGAACCTTGGCGAAAGAGCTTGAAAAGAGCTATCGATTGCTTTTTTCCGCGGCTCTCTAGCTCTTCTAGTTTCCGAGCTACAGCGGAATATGTCCGGCAACACCGAAAACACTGAAATTTGACCTATGATGACCTCTAGCGACCTCAATATTGACCTTAGCGAAAAAATGACCGAAATACTTTCGAACGTACTTGTTATGGGCTTTCGTTTGCTTTTTTCCGCGTCTTCCTAGCCCTCTTCGTTTTTGAGTTAGACGGGGGGGGTCATTTTGGCCCCCCCCACCAGGGCGAAGGTGGCTCAGACCCACACCAGGGCGCGGGTTAATAAAACTGTCATATTCATATAGATTGTTGAATAGTTACGCCACAATAATGTAAAAAAGGGTAACTAAGCAGTTGTCATATCAGCGTATTCAAACAACTCCAGTTAGTATGCACATATCTTCTTTTGTTATAAACACCTTAATGAATAATTGTCTGTAAGTTTTCCAAGAATGCAGATGTATTGGACAGTCATGAAGTCAATAATCGCCAGAACCACTAATAGCTGTCATTACTGCCACTAATTCCGGCCATCCTCCCCTGTTTTCGCAGCGGTGTCTTATCTATAACAACGTGCGTGCCAAACGCCAATCGCTACGTTCCTTGCCAATGACGTCACCGCTCGGCAATCAATAGTCGCCGCCTGATTGGTTGAACCCCACAAACACACAGCCGAGGGGGTCCTTCGGCAGATACACAATAGATCGGGGTTTCGCCACTGCGGGAATCGCTAATGGTGTGTTCCAGAGGCGACAGGAACGGAGAATAAGGTAGAGCGAGGGGAGGAAGGGGAGGGAGAATGATCAGGTATCGACAATAAGACGATGAACACGCAGGGAACAACACGCAAGTGATGAACGAGAGAGGCCAAGGCCGCGGATGGCAGACACAGGCTTGTAAGACCAATGATAAATGTATCAGCTGCGACTGATTTTTAGTGAGTGCGTGTGGTATGATATGGGCCTCACTAAATCATTTTACTTAGCGAGTAGGCAATAGCCGTTTTCACGACGGCCATCTGGTACACATTTGGTGCACATCTGGTGCAGATCAGGTGCAGATTTGGTCAAATTAGGTTCCGATGTGTCTCTTAGAAGCTATAACCCTCGCCCGTATTGCTGTTTTTCCAGCCGCGAACGTATAAGGGGGGGGGGGGTCCGTTGGACCCCCCCTTGCCGTTTCGCCCCTGATCAAGCTAGAGCTTCGCGGAAAAAACGAGCGTGTTGCCCGTGACGAGAGGAAGCCGATGATACCCAATTTTAAGGTCCTAGGTCATTGGTTGACCTTGCAGATCAGGTCAATGACCCCAAAGGCGGGAAAATCGGGCCCTGTTAGAACGTCGTAAAGTGTGGCTGCTATGTGGTTTTTCGGGGTGCTGATCACGAATAGCATGTTAGTTTTGATCACAGATGATGTCTTCATGTATTTAGGCCAGGTCGGGTCAGGTCAGGTCAGGTCAACCAGTAAGGGTATTCGTAGTAGGTGGCAACCGCCTCTGACAGCTTCGTAACATGTTACGAAGGCACCAAAACTATTTCGTAAATGTTCATATGGTTGCTAAATTCGAATTCAGCTCCAAAAACTGGCCTAGAAACATGTAAAACTCGAAAAAGTGAACCGAGGTCATCAAAGGTCAATGACCTGACCTGACCTTCAGGTGACCTTGACACCCACCCTAATGCATGGGAGCAACATCATATCACATGTTTGAACGCTTGAAACCACGAAAAGACTGCAAACGCGCGGCTAATGCGAGCCGACATACGCCGAATCGCGATTCCAGCCAAACATGGTCTCGAAAAGTAGGTCACAGGTCAAAGGTCATTTGAGTCAGGGTCATGAAATTTTCAGGGTAGGTGTGAAATTGATGAACGCGAGGGTACTGAAAGTTTCGTCGCGATCGGCCGCTTTTTACGCGAGTTATTCGCAAAAAACCATGGGGGGGGGGTCAGTTCGACCCCCCCCCTATACGGGCGAGGGATAAGCTAGGGTTGCACTATTTGCTTACATACCTGCTTTGTCTTATTTTCAGAGAGTATCATCGATTAAAACACTGAAATAAATTCATAAAATAAAGATATTTGCTGTAAAAGAGATTAGGTGCAGATTTGGTCAAATCAGGTGCACTCGCCGGATAGCCCGTCAAGAAAACGGCTATTATCGTACCTGGGGCATTCCACGATAGATCGACCAAAGCCGTACACCCTCATATTTTATTTTTTGCTTAAAATTGGTCTAATGGGTTGTGATGGGGGGGGAAGCCAGCTGTGCCAAGGATTTTTTCTTCGAACAACGGTTTCCGAGATATAGCCTCAGGCAATTCCTGGAGGTCACGCTGCAACCCTATGTTTGGCGGCTTATAACTCAGAAACTATTGGTTTTCTATGGTAAAAACTTCATATGGTTCAACTCGCAATCAACCAACAAACGTTTTGGCTATCTCGGATTTTCGATTTTTGAAAATTTTGATTACGTGACATCTTGACCTTTTTTCGAAGAGTGACCTTGATATTATCCCAACTGAAAGTCGCAATTATGTCTGATGACGATTAAAGCCTCATCAATTGTCATTCATATGCGCAAATAAAAAAAGTGGCTATCGCCCTGTGTTGACCTCAGGTCAGGTCATTTTTATGACCTGTCCATTATTACGAGCGGGAGCGACGCGAGATCTCGAGAATAAAGCAAGATAGCGACAAGCGGTAAACGGTACAGGATTCACACGGATAAGGTCTACAATTTTTACGGAGGTCATTTTCAGGTCAGGTCAAAGATGGCGTCACAGGGGTAAAAAGGAAGTCAAAATAGTTTTGGCTGTATCTTTTGATCTAATAAAGAAAGAGACGTGTAACAGGCACCATTGTGTTTGCTTTCGCCTAGCGCCAGTTCATTTTGAATTTCAATACCGATGACCTAGTCAATTTCTTGACCACCCCATTATAAGTCAATTGGGGAAAAATCAGCTCCCTTGTTTTTACACTAAAACGCGTCGGAATTGCCTAATATACCATGAGTGACTTCATATACGACTAACTTTGACTACCTTGAGACCTTTTTTGCTCTTGGTCAACTGTGACGTTGCTCTTGGGTCATGTGACGTCATTAAAGGTCACCAAATGTTTTTTGCTAATAACTCCTTACAGGTTTGCGATACAGCCGCGCGGATAGGCTTATTGTGTTCAGCTCGTCAAGGCCCATCGAATGATATATATGATGACCTTAAGGTCACGTGACCTAAGGTCAACTTTTGACCTTGACCTTTCGAGGTCAACATACACATGTTTCGATGCGGATCGACGAGAGGATCACGATGGTGGTATTAGTTTGTTCCTAGCTGGGATACTTTGAAAGTTATTCGAGAAAAACTTCATATATATGTAGTGCCGCCATTTAGACTTTCTTATTACCCCTGTGACGTCATCTTTGACCTGACCTGAAAATGACCTGAGTAAAAATTGTAGACCTTATCCATGTGTACTTTGTGCCGTTTACCACTTGTCGCTATCTTGCTTTGTTCCCGAGATATCGCTGTCGCTCCCGCTCGTAATAATGGGAAGGTCATAAAAATGACCTGACCTGAGGTCAACGCAGGCCGAAAGCCACTTTTTTTATTATCGCATATGAATGACAATTGATAAGGCTTTAATCCTCATCAGACAATATTGCGACTTTCAGTTGGGATAATATCAAGGTCACTCTTCGAAAAAAGGTCAAGATGTCACGTGATCAAAATTTTCAAAAATTAAAAATCTGAGATAGCCAAAACGTTTGTTGGTTGATTGCGAGTTGAACCATAGAGTTTTTACCATAGAAAACCAATAGTTTCTGAGTTATAAGACGCCAAACATACGGTTGCAGTGTGACCTCCAGGAACTGCCCGAGGCTATATCTCGGAAACCGTTGTTCGAAGAAAAAAATCCTTGCCACAGCTGGGTTCCCAGCCCATCACAACCCATTAGACCAATTTTAAGCAAAAAATAAAATATTAGGGTGTAAATTCTATTTATTTTTGGTCGATCTATCGTGGAATGCCCCACCTATCACAACAAACTATACATGTTCCATCGTGCTTATGCAGACTCAGCAGAGCGCTATAAAGGAAACACCTTGTTTACAGATATGCTAATGACTTTAACATAAATCATCCTAAAATTATACCTATATTGGCTCTTCTAATCACCATGTTTATATCCAACCATACCAAAAGGTCATCAACATGGTATCCGGATCAATGACTCTACTTAGAGCCTGTGACGTCATTAAAACTGTCACGTGATCGGACCTCATTAGTGTTCTGTTTGTGTCGCAGAAGAGGCATAAGTGGCGCAGTTTACATTGACGCTATAAAAACGTTTCTAACTGTTTACACAATGGAGTGCACCGTAAAAAGAAGGATCCCATAAAGAGGTCAAATGGTAGAGAGAAGGAAATAATTCTGCGTAAGGAAAATGGCCGAGGGCTGATGAGTGGTCTAGTGAGCAGGGCAACGGCCTCGACTTTGGAAGAACGCCGACCATATTCAGAGAATTTACGGCGCACGCACATGCCAAGTAATCGGCTGGTCGTCCGGTCAACGACTTATTACAGGATAGAATGAGTTGGGCGCTAAAACGTGGCAACCGTCATTCGATGAAAAATATATTTATCCATGACTCATTATGGAAAAGTAAAATCCCGAAAAATGAAAGGTGTAAATCGCTGGAAGCTGATCATTATGAAAACAAGATAGTTATTCAAAATAATTGTTAGCTTGTAACACTAGTTTGTATTGCAGTATGAAGAAGCAAATGAAATAACGTAGTTGTACATGCGTCAAAATAATAAACAAGGGATTGCTATTCACTGGTGTGATTGCTATATCAATTGCATTCACATTGTTATTCAATATTCACATATAATTTAAAATAAATGTTTGATGATAGATAACAATGTAAACCACTCTTTCGTCGGTAAACTTCCACCAACTTTCAACAACCATGACAATAAAAAACAAAACTTCTCTCTCTCCTCTCTCTCTCTCTCTCTCTCTCTCTCTCTCTCTCTCTCTCTTTCTCTCTCTCTCTCTCTCTCTCCCTCTCTCTCTCTCCCTCTCTCTCTCTCTCTCTCTCTCTCTCTCTCTCTCTCTCTCTCTCTCTCTCCCTCCCTCTCTCACCCTGAGAACGGTAGTGCCTCGTACGACGTTCTCCATGAACGTAGCCGGGTAGAGCGTCTTCTCAAACACGGGCGGGTTGTCGTTCTGGTCGAGTATAGTGACGCTAATGTTGGCTAAGCTGGTGAGAAGTCGACCCGACCTCCGCTCAGGATCCACCTCATCGGCACGAACCTGGGGACGGGCGGAGAGGGGCAGACTGGTTAGATATTGAGCGGAAGAAGAAAAGGTGAGAGAGATTATATACCTATCTACTGGACAGCTACGTCAGCACGCACCTTGGGACGGGCGGAGAGGGGTATGAGGTTAAATATTGATCGGAAGACGAAAAGGTGAGAGAGATTAGCCGTTTTCACGACGGCCATCTGGTACACATTTGGTGCACATCTGGTACAGATTAGGTGCAGATTTGGTCAAATCAGGTTCAGTGTGTTTCTTAGTCTATCAGCTAGGGTTGCACTAATTGCGTATATGCCTGCTTTGTCATATTATCAGAGAGCATCATCGATTAAAACACTGAAATAATTTCATAAAATGAAGATATTTGCTGTAAAAGAAATTAGGTGCAGATTTGGTCAAATCGGGTGCATTCGCCGGATAGCCCGTCGTGAAAACAGATAATATATACATTCCTACTGGACAACTTCGTCAGCCCGCACGGGCGGGAGCGACGAGAGGGAGAGGGGTAACATGTTGCAAGAAGGGGTAAGAAATGTAAAAAAGGGCAATAAACTAATGCAGTGATAATAAACTTGGAACGAAGGGTATGAAAACTACTGCAGATGTACCTAAAATAACCCTCGCCGGACCTATTGTTTTTTTTTTTACATACGCGCTGGCCGAGAGGGGGGGGTGGCGGGTACGACCCCCCTCGCCGTTTCGCCCCTGGTGGAGCTAGCGCGTCGCGGAAAAAAACAGCGTGTGCGCCGTTACGGGACGCAGAGATTGGTACCCGATTCTAAGGTCCTAGATAACCCGGTGACCTCTGAGGTCAGGTCAAGTGCCCCAAGGTACGGTTACGTTTTTGGTGAATAGCTTCGCAAAAAAACGGTCACAGAGCCGTGATTCTGGCAGTGTCGTGTTCGTCTCGCTCAGGCGCGGCGAATTATATACTTTTCATTTGGGTGAGGTCAACTTCGGGTGTTGACCTCAGGTCACGGTCAGGTCAGCACCCCCCAGGTCACGAAATCGGTCAGAGTAGGTCATGTCGCATATCATTCGATTTGGCAGGTCTTCCTGAGTCCATTGGTGGCTTTCCCGACTCGCTAGCTCAATTTGATCGGGAGTGATTGACGAAAAACTAATATGGCCCTAATGACGTCATAAATGACGTCACGCAAGGTCAACATTGCAAAAGTGACGCATCTGAGCTTGCAATGAGTGCACCAAATCACGATTCTGTGTGCTCGAGATAGTTGGAGATCGTCCCCGGAGCCAGAATAGCAGTTTTCATTTTTCCCCATTGACTTATAATAGTAAGGTCACGAAAATGACCTGACCTTACATGGCCTTTAGAAAAAATTCGAGATATACAAGCTGTGAGACTAGTGATGGATATAAGATCCTGCAAATTTCATTTCCCTGTGAAAGCTACTCTGGCATTGAGGGCGTTGCGAGGTTGCGACATCTGAAGACCGTGCAGAGGTTCACTTATGACGCCATAGGTCAGTGACCTGACCTGACCCGAAAATGCGGTTGGTGTCAAAAGATCTGGCTTGAATCAAAGGTCAGGTATGCCAAGTGTCATGTCTCTATCGTGTCAGCGTGTTTGGAGCTATCGCGAAAAAACCCCATGGGGGGAGGGGGGGCGGCACCCGGTCCCCCCTCGGGCGGCGAGAGAGAACTCATCATACACGCATAGTGGCTCAATTTGAATGATTTGCCTTGGGCGAATATGTTTTACGGTACATTTAATGACAATAATAGCCGTTTTCACGACGGGCTAGCAGGCGAATGCACCTAATTTGACCAAATCTGCACCTAATCTCTTTTACAGCAAATATCCTCATTTTATGAATTTATTTCAGTGATACTATCTAGTCTCTGATAATATGACAAAGGAGGCATATAAGTCATTAGTGCAACCCTAGCTGATAGCTTCTAAGAGATACACGGAACCTAATTTGACCAAATCTGCACCTTACCTATCTGCACCAAATGTGCACCAAATGTGTACCAGATGGCCGTCGTGAAAACGGCTAATATGTAACTATACATAAAGGGCTTCAGTAAACTTTGTGGAGTAGTTTTGTTTCAAACCTTTGTTCCCAAACAAGAGATTGAGATTATTATTCAACATACTACCCTATAGCGACTACCAAACCATTACCTTTCCCATCCCTACCATGATTTACATACTCACACTAAAGACGAGCACCGGATTGGGAAGCTCCTCGAAGTCGAGTAGATCTTTATTCTTCACTCGTATGTAAAACTGACCCTCCCTGGTCTGTATCGGTGGGTCTACCTCAAAACAGCGGGACGCCAAGTCACCGACAATTGTGAGGGTGAAGGATCCGCGCTGGCCCTGCCAAAGGAGAGACGAAACACGTGATGGTATCAGTAGCGGCGGAACACCTTCAATTGGGGGGGGGGGGGCACTGACGACATTTGGTCCCATTCTTTCCATGCAACGACCATAGGGCTAATGTTAAAATGCCAAAATCAAAGGGGGCACGGTGCCCCGGTGCCCTCCCCGTTCCGCCGCCTATGGATGGTATCAGGTGTGATTTGGCGGTGTGATCTTTGGTTGCATCGCGTTGTGTCATACTACGTCGCTCCGAAGACAGGTAACGTGATTTTGCATGTCATGATATGCCTATTTTAGGCAGAGTGCATTGTGTTATATCGCTACGAGGTTGTATGTGTTTTTTTAACTCCAATCATAGACCTCTGTACACATCTGGTGTACAGAGGTCTATGCTCCAATATGTTTTTGATTTTGTAATAGTTTAGACGGAGTGCTGTATTGTGTTACATCGGTACACAATCATACGTATGTCGTTCCAACAAAAATAAGTTTATTTGCTTGATTCACAACTTATTGCATATATAGTCCCACAAATATGATCATCTAAAGCTTTATACTGTGTTTCTACCTTGTGGATGCATAAAACGACCGTTCACCTCGATTCCCAGCACCAGTATGTCGATGAATGACGGCAAATGGCCGTCTGCTTGTATCGATTGATGCCGTTCTAATGCAGTAGCCTCCGTGAATAAATTATAAGCTGCATTCCTTGGGTCGACGCCACGATACAGTCGCTATGCCACGCTGTAGGACACGCGGGTAACGGTTGGAAGCTCAGTGTACGTGAACGTTAGAAAATTTATATTGCAGTGTCATTTGGTCAGGTTTTAAAAGATCCGCTGGTTTGGACCGTTCAGTTCTTTATTTTCATTACATAGTTCTACGCTAATGACGGGTTCACTCCGACTCGACCCGTTTTACGCCATTTGCTGATATTTTTTTTTTTACATTCCGCCTTCACAGTGCCGCCAGTTCTGACTTTGTATTGATCTTTCATGTCTCCTTGTTACTTTTATGTCGCATGTGTGTGCCTTTATCCGTTTCACTGCATCAATGTGATACATGTGATTCATTTGTACGATACCTAAATGTCCTTTGCCTTTCGACCTGTGCAATGCACGATGAGCACATCTTTTTTCAGTCCATAAAAGCAAAATCGGCTTTTGATGACATTGAAGTCTCTCTCCCTCTCTCCCTCTCCCTCTCTCTCTCTCTCTCTCTCTCTTTCTCTCTCTCTCTCTCTCTCTCTCTCTCTCTCTCTCTCTCTCTCTCTCTCTCTCTCTCTCTCTCTCTCTCTCTCTCTCTCAGCCTGTTTTACCTTCGGTTTAATCCTTAGAGATTCTTGTTCCGTTCTTTTTGTTTGTCATTCTGTTCCATCTCTAACTACCTTGCGTTCCATTCAACCCACCTTCAACAATCATTCCCCTGAACTGATAACTACCATCAGTGATGATTTATGATCAGCCAATGTGACTGCGCCTAATTAGTGGCTCGTTACGGCCGTCTGTGACGTCCATCACATCCGTTACGCTCCCTTACGCTCCGTTACGCCCTGTTACGCCCCGACACGGGTGTCAAACGCTCGCTAGTTGATGGTGGTGCGCTACAGCTCAGGCTGGTCAGAGAAGAGAGCCACGGGGGAGAGGCGAAACTATAGTTTAGGTTGTCCTTTGTAAATGCATGACGATATCCGAACAGGCAGGGAGTTATTTGATGAAGACGTATTGATAGTTGTCTGCAGAATGCATAGAGATAATTACTTGTTTGATGCTAAAATGTATTAGGTTTACAGGTGACTGTTCCATAAGTATGGGGCTATGTAGCGTTATGAGTTATGAGTATGTTACACATAGCAGTAAGATGAGTAGGTAACATTGAGTATGAAGCTAAACGAAACTGCAGACGTAGTTGTGGATGTATATGTAGACTGTATACTGTGTCTGTAAATTGTTTGTCTAGAATGTGGACATCGCATGCTCGTTGTTTGCAACCTGCAACGCTCACCAGAACTTTCCAGGAAGGCTTTCGCGCCGTTCTAGCTTCTGTGTACGTGTTCTGTGAACGCTAAACTACTAACTGCGCCATCGTTCGATACGTGTGGTGACGTCACTTAGTAGTGCCCTGACGTCAACGATTGACTGCTCGGGCGAACTGAAGGTTACTTCTACAATGAACGCAAAGTGTCTGGTGGTTTCGTCTGTACATATGTGTCCAACGCTGTTGTTTTATTGTGGTAGAAATAGTGATTGTATGTACCTATACAAATCATGCAGAATGTAACACTGTATAATGTAAGGGAGTCTTGGTGTATGATAAATGCAACTGTAGAGCAGGATCGAGGCCACGGTTAGGGGACCTGACCCAAAAATGCAACCCTTTTACATAAGGATGCATCACGAAAGTTCATTTATCGGGGAGGCACCTCCCCCTTCGGTGGCGGAGACCCTGCGGTAGAGCGTACAATTATGACACATGTCCCAAAATATGTTCCCACCTTGCCCAGTTACCGCAGGATCCTCCCCAATACCCCTAGTAACGCGTGTGCGTGCGCGCGCCATTGCGTGCACCAGTGTGCGTGTAACTGTGTTGTTGACTCAGCGTTCTGCGAAGGGGGAAATCGAGCGATAAACAGGGGTCTCTTCAGGCTGGGGAGGCGGCAAATAAACGGCACGCGTCAATGCAAATGACTCAGCGGACCGGAAATGCGAACTTCCGGTGCTGCTGGCTGTTAATTGGTTTTAAGCCCGAGAGCGATTGTGACTCTGATGTATGTATATTGATTGATGGATAGACAGACATCAATATACCTGGACTGGACTGGTATATAGAGGGTTATGATTGATGTTAGGTGTGACTCTCATGTACACCTAATGGCATTGAATGTATTCGATTCTATTTTGGTGAAAAGGGGAGCGATGTAAGCTGATATGTGGCTCAGATGCATGGAATCATGGCTTCATAGCTAGGGAGTTTGTGGCATCTTGCTCATCTGGTTGTTTTGGAGCCTTTGGGAAGTAAATCCCTCGAAATTTGTGTACGGCTCTTTCGTCGCTTATTTCAGTCCACCAAGTCGTTCAGTATATCGTAAATACCAGCAAGCATAAAATAAAACATACGCGAAATGACGACTGAATGCGTCGTAAGACACTGCCCTGGGCCGTTTCATAAGGTTTTTAACACTGACATGAGAGCATGGATTTTTCATGCAAGGAATTTGTGTGTTGTTTTCTGAAACACAGTCGGTCGTGCATAAATAATTGCCAACGCTACTAAACAATGCTAGCTGTTGAAGTTCTATTGAAAATACATTCTCCATTGCATTCCTTCGCAGCAGCATCCTGCGATCAACGTGCAACTGAAACAGTGTTGCAGGCCTTCAGTTTTGTTCCAGTAGTTGCACACATGTTTGAAATATATCCCTCGCCGGACCTATTGGTTTTCTACATACGCGCCGGCCGAGGGGGGGGGGGGGTACGATCCCCCCCCCCTCGCCGTTTCGCCCCTGGTGGAGCTAGCGCGTCGCGGAAAAAACGAGCGTGTGCGTTGTTACGAGACGCAGAGATTGGTACCCGATTTTAAGGTCCTAGGTCAACCGGTGACCTCTGAGGTCAGGTCAAGTGCCCCAAGGTACGGTTCAGTTTTTGGTGAATAACTTCGCAAAAAACGGCCGCAGAGCGCCGATTTTGGCGGCATCGTGTTCGTCTCGCTCAGGCGCGTCGAATGATATACTTTTTGTCCGGGTCAGGTCAACTTGGGGTGTTGACCTCAGGTCAAGGTCAGGTCAGCACCCCCAGGTCACGAAGTTGGTCGAAAGAGGTCATGTCGCATATCATTCGATTCGGCAGGTCTTCCTGAGTCCATTGGTGGCTTTCCCGACTCGCTAGCTCAATTTGATCAAGAGTTATTGACGAAAAACTAATATGACCTTGATGACGTCATAAATGACGTCACGCAAGGTCAACATTGCAAAAGTGACGCATCTTACCTTGCAAGGAGTGCATCAAATCACGATTCTGTGTGCTTGAGATAGTTGGAGATCGTTCCCGGCGCCAGAATAGCAGTTTTCATTTTTCCCCATTGACTTATAATGGTGAGGTCACGAAAATGACCTGACCTCATATGACCTTTAGGAAAAATCCGAGATATACAAGTTGTGGGACTCATAATGGATACTAGATCCTGCAAGTTTCATTTCCCTGTGACATCTCCTCTGGCAGTGAGGGCGTTGCGAAGTTGCGACATCTGAAGACCGTGCAGAGGTTCACTTATGACGTCATAGGTCAGTGACCTGACCTGACCCGAAAATGCGGTTGGTGTCAAAAGATCCGGCTTGGATCAAAGGTCAGGTATGCCAAGTTTCAGCTCTCTATCGCCAGCGTGTTCGGAGCTATCGCGAAAAAACCCTATGTATGGGGGGGCGGCACTTGCCCCCCCCCCCCCTCGGCCGGCGAGGGATATTATTGCATGTTGTTCTACTTTATCTTTCCGCTCGAAAAATGGTGTGGTGTTGAATCATTGAGCATTGCTGTGAGCCCTTTGCAAAGCTTAGATGACAGTATATAATGGTGAAGATTATTTGTTAGAGTGATCATTGATCTGTAGAGGTGAACACTGATCATAGGACATTGGTGGTGTATGTACATACAATACCATTACCTATAGTATGACAAACTTGAGGCGTCATTACAGCACTAGCGGATATGGGTAGAATAAAGATGTTTTGTAGGTAGATGTCATGACGATTGATGACATATAAGCGTTGTATCCGGGTCGCGGATCTACTCATCTATTCTATCTAAAACGAGACGTTCATTAAAATATAATGTGTACTCTAATTTCTTACCGTTGTTTCCAGAGGTGGATCGAAGTTCAGCAGGGTTCCGATAGCAGGATTCTCAAAGAGCTGCGTCTCGTACCTGCCATCATATTGAAATTCATATAAAAAACGACGAATTGACTGGATGGGGCCAGTTCTGTCTCAAATTTCCAATAGATAGACAACAACAAATATACGATTGTAAGAAACTGATGAAAAGGCAATATTTCAGCACTGTCCATGAAATAGCAGTCAAATGCACTCTACAGATCGAATAACTTACTCAGTAAATAGTGACTTGCTATTGGAACGTTTAATTGACTTGTCAAATACCCATTCAAACTTCGATGGTAATATCGAAAACTTTTGTCGATAACTCCGTCATCAACAAACAGGACGTCAGCACCTGGGATCGAACCCGGGTCCTTTCCATCCCAAACAAACACTCCATCACCCACCCCACCAACTCACAATCCCGGCCGAAACTGTGGAGCCTGATGCGCGGCGTCCTCCCTGATTACCACCACATCTCTTTGAGCCGATTCACCACGTTCTGAGAGCGACGTGGTCACTTCTTCGGCGGAGACCGTCACAGTCATTGGCTCCAGGCGTGACGTCAGCAGGCCAGTCAGTGATGACGTCACCGATAGGTTACCTGAGGAGGAGAGCGTTATGGATAGGTTATTTGACGGGAGCGTCATATGGATTCAGCCATACGAGCCCCGCCAGCGCCCCGTTGCACTGCAGCGGGGCGCGTATGGATGAATAGCCCAGCCGGGCGCGGAATAACCGTGAGCATGAAAATGACAATCTAGGTAGGAGTTGTATGATGAAAGCATTTCACAGTTTTTGTTCATTCTTGGATTGGGTCGAAAGTTGACAATCTACATTCTACATATTGCAACGTAAGGGAGCTGGAATTTCTGTACAACTTTCAGAAGCAACAATCCGAGAAAATAATTCGATCATTCAAATGATATTCAATCACCTGAAAGAAAATTTCACAGCTTGTGCCTTACATACATATGTAGGTAACATGTAAGCTCTGACGCATGCAATGTAAGGGCTATCTCGTCAAACATTCTACGTTCCTTGGTAAAACGAGGGCTACTTGTAATCTATACTTGTAATTCGACGGTCTTTGTGTGCGCTTTAGCGTTTAACAGCAATGGAAATATCGTCTACACGATGTCGACATTGGTGGAGGATTTATGACTTTAATTTAGGACTAGCATCACATGAGACATTCATGCTAAGACTGTAGGATGACTGACGGCTTTGGTTGTGTAGGTATGTTTTTACTTTTTGAAACAGATAAAAATTCGGAAAGATGTAAGTATATTTTTTGCTGCTATTGAATGTGTCTTTTCACTCGTCACTGTCGTGTCGATTACAGCTGAGATCCGAGTCATGGATAATAAACACTCATGCAGGAAGGGAAAAACATTCAGCTCCATTTATCAGTCATCCATTCCATTATAAGGGGCTCTCTGAAAATAGTATAATGTTCTAACGAATTTCAATAGCAGACGACAATCGCAGCACAGCAGCCTGGAATGGCCAGACGCGCTGAACGGGCTGGACGGGCTGGCCTGTACTGGTAGACTGTGCCGCAGCGCAGTCATGTATTGCGGCACAGTCTACACCACACGGCTGGTGACGGCGGCCGAGGAGCGCCTGCGATCTTGACTGCGATAGGGCATTACAGCCATTACAGCATTGAAACTCCGGCGCATTGCTTTAGTTTGCTTTTGTGGCTGAGATTGCACAGTTTTCAACAAGTTGTGTGTGTGGGAACATTTTAGTGCTGGCTAATTTAATTTCGCTATCCTTTTTCCTTTCACTGAAATAAAGCGTTACCGTCAAGTGTCTCTGTCCGTGCTTTGACGTGAGTGAATGTGTGAATGCTGTGAATGTTTAGATTAGTAACCGCGGATACGGATTCTGAGCAGTAATCGCCACGCACTTTCAGAATGTGGATCGCTCATGATTGTTCAATACAATACAATACAACACACAATGCAATTAGGTATTAGCCATACCACATATAACGTCCACGCCAATGAAGCGGCGGAACATACGTCATACCGAGTCCAAGCGATATAATTGGCCATACCTGGGACAGGATCCATGCAACATGATCAACAATACCCCATACCGCGCGGTATACCGTATAACCAACCATACCTCATACGGGTCCATTCGGTTTAACCAAACATACCTGACACGGGATCCATACTGAAGTAGGAGTCGTATCCGAGACCGTTGGGTACCAGTCGGTACCTGATCTCCCGCGGATTTTGTCGATCACCGTCCAGGGCGCGGAAAGTGCCGATCACGTCCCCCTGTGAAAAACGAGAGGCGTTTGTTAGATGTGGGCAATGTAGGTGCACTATAGATACATCAGGTTATATTCACCTACATGTTAATGTAAGATGCAAGTATATGTGCGCTTAATACAATACTGTTCAACAAAAATCTTGATATGTTGAGAGATTGTACATGTTCCGTACATGTTGAGAAATTTTGGTTGATGAGTGACTTGATAAGGAAACCCAAACTATGTATTTAGTTTGAGGACCCCTGACTGATCCGGTTCGAGGACCCTGACTGACCCGCTTTGAAGGCCTCTGACTGACTGGTTTGAATACCCGTCACTGACCAGTTTGAGCCCCCCTGTATACTTAGTTTGAGGACCCCTGACTGATCCAGTTTGAGAACCCCTCACTAACCGGTTTAGCGCTGTTGCCGACCCTCAGCAGGGTCGGGGCTGGCTGACTAGTTTGATAACCCCCGTATAGTTAGTTTGAGGACCCCTCACTGACTAGTTTGATAACCCCGTATAGTTAGTTTGAGGACCCCTGACTGACTAGTTTGATAAACCCTGTATAAGAGGTCTGCACCGGCCGGCTGCAGCCGCGGCTGGCTGCAGCCCCACGGCTGTGGGCCGGGGCGGCTGCAAATATCTCCAAGAACACGGCTACGGCTGTGGCCACGGCTGTGAGATTTCAAGCTCAATCTTAAGTACTCAAATATAAAATTTTAAATCCTTAATCTTACATTCTGATAAGCAGTCTAGCCTGTAAAAATCATGCAAAGGATGCCCAGCAACATTGAAAGTGGTGAAGCCTTTGAAAACCTGTAATGGTTTTACCATTTGCTGCAGGGGAGTTTGACCTCTGGTACAGAATACTAATTATAGGTTAAGGTACCAATTGTTCCTTCATCATCAAGAGCTTGACAGTTTCAGAAAATGCAACATGTTGCATTGTCACATCCCTCTCAAATCAATCTCACCTGGTCATTAGGAGAGCACCTTACAGCTATTGAGGACGAGCGTTCAATAATTCTTTCAGGTAATAAAAAAAGAAGTCACATCTAGGTAAAGGCAGGTAAAGGCTTCATAAAATATTATCTAAAATACCTCTTAGACGTATTTCTGGATTTTCGGCAAGTCCAATTACATAATATAAAACTGGCGCTTTATGTTCTAACTGGTGTGTGAGTGACCGCTAACAGAAAATGCTGATCAACGAAGCCAATGGAATTAGATTGTAAGTGAGCATGAACCTTACTTACGGTTAATTCACATGATGGTGAAAACCCTGAACACGTAATTCACATGACGGTGAAAACCCTGAACACAATATTTCTTACGCGAGCTGTTGACTTTACTAATAAAATGACGTCTTCTTCTGAAAATATAAGAATTTGATAATCAATCTTTGTTTGAGAGGAAGCTTTTAACTGTATAGCATTTTTATTTATTAATTTTAATTTTTATGGCTGTTTATAGTGACACAAAACAATTTTTTGCCACTTCTTTGGTATTTACGTCATTACAAACTCAAGTAAAATTTTTGATTGAAAGAGGCAATTGTGGCTCACACGTCCTTGGGGATTTGAGCGAAGATCATTATTTGGAAAAATCAAAATAGATGAATGTTTTTCTTTCTTGGATGCTCACTAGTGTTTTGACTTTTGATGCCTTGCACATCAAATTAGTTTGAGACTTGCTCAGAAGGCTGCTTCAAGCCTGGCATATCACACCCCAGAAAATATGCAAGGTAAGAAAGAAGCAAGAGTTTTGACTAGACAACCACTGTTTGACAGTCCATCAACTTCAGTTTCATTTTCCATACCTAACATTGATAATGAAAAGCATCAGGGTCTGTTGTTCTGTCCCACAACCATGCTTCAGGATTTGGCATTAGATGTCTACACTGCTAGTGCTTCTATTCTGGTTCGTTGTTTATGTTTTCTGTTGATGTAGGTACCTACCTAGGTACCCATCTTTCTTAACCCCTTGCAAGGGCTTGTGTAGGCATGCGATGCGCATCAGGATTCAGGCCTTCGGCCTAAAGCCAGATACACAACCACTTAATCTATGATGCTTCATGAGCTTGAGAATCTATAGCCCATTGCAATGTGCTTTTGGCTATATGTTTCAACTAAAAACAACTTATTATATACTATTTGGTTGCATTTCATTGAAAGTATCCACGGCCGGCTGACGGCTGGCTGCCCACAGTTTGCCACGGCTGTGGGCGGCCGTGGCTGTGGAGCCACGGCTGCGGGGCGGCTAGGCTGTGGAAAAGTGCAGCCGTGCAGAACTCTACCCTGTATAGTTAGTTTGAGGACCCCTCACTGACCGGTTTAGCGCTATTGCCGACCCGCAGCAGGGCCGGAGCTGGCTGACTAGTTTGATAACTCCCGTATATTTAGTTTTAGGACCCCCTACTGACCGGTTTGGCGCTGTTGCTGACCCGCAGCAGGGCCGGAGCTGAAGCGAAAAAAGGCGGAGTGTCCTGGACGTCCCGGACCAGCAGGTTCATCCGCAGCTCCATGATGTTCCTCGTGTCGATGGTCGTGTCGCGGTAGCCGTTCTGGAGGAACCGAAGGAAGACCGGAGTTAGGTTTGAGGGGCACTCAGTGTCGTCATCTGCTGCAAGTTTAAAAAGCATTGCAATTCGAAGGGCAATGTGGAGTTGCGTTAGTATAGAATGTCCCTACATTGAATTTGGGTCATCGTGCAACTGGTCCAGACTCCAGACCATGAGATAAAACAAAAACTGCAGTGAGTTTGAAGATAAAACAAAAACTGCACGCATGACGGATGTAACAATAAAGCTGTATCAAATTCCGAATAGTTGTGGTAGAGATAAAATACACATACAAATGAATACTGGGGCGAATTTGAAAGATTAAGGTTTCATGGGACTACCATTACCGGCCTAAATCGTAGCATATTGAGGACATAAACGTAAGCCAAACACAGAAGCTAGCTTTGCAAGCCACTGTGTGTAGGTGTATTACTGACTGTAAGTACCCGATTGCAAACTTACCACTGCCCACACGTCCAGTATAGCGTGCCACTGCTTATGACCTATTCACCCCCCACCCCCCACCCCCAGTACAGTCACGCCAGCCACCATGCATACATTCATTGGCTGGACCGGGGACCGTCTGACAAAGCCTTTGTGCTGACAATAGTGTCTCTTTGCTTAGTGGTGGGATCAGAGCAATGTCACGCAATGATCTGTTGAATGTGATAATGTTTATGTGGGAAGGCCACTGAATTCTATAATGGGGAGGGCGCAAAGTGTTAAGCTCAGGCTACACTATCAGCGTTTTTTCGGTTTCTGCGTGATTTCGGTTTCCGCGTTTTTACGGTTTCTGCGTTTTTTCGTTCCGGGCGGCCGCCGCGTGGACGGTGTTGTTTATAGCACAGTGATGGATAAGTGATCGATTTATTTAATTATTCATGTTAAATATTATCGTGTTTTAACAAAATTATAATTAAATAACTTTTTTAAAGATTTTGCAACTAACAAGAAAAGATTTTCGATAATACGATCATAATCATTTGTCAGTTTAATTACAATTATCATATTTGATGTAGAATGATGAGTTTTGAAACACATTTTGTCTTATTTAATCATGAATTACACCATTTTCATTATTTACATTTGAAACTGTTCCATCGTCACACTATTATTAGCAACAATCACTTCTAATCATCCATCACTAAAACGAAATCCCGCAGAAACCGAAAAAAAGTTCACAGCTCTGAACTTTTTTCGGTTCCGACTCGTCGGTTTTTGCGGGTTTTCGTTCCACGGGACGCCAGACTGGCAGTGTAGCTTGCGCAATGCATTCGCTATGAGGCGAACTTGACGACGCGAGCCGAAATCCCGCAGAAACCGAAAAAACGTCGGAATTCATGCTAGTGTAGCTTAGGCTTTATGTTGTGTTGGGTGTTTGGTGAAAAAAAGTGTTTGGTGGCCCGCGCTCTATATGGACTTATTTGTGGTCGTTTAGTTTGCATTTGCAGTAGCGAGAACACTGGAAAGCCATAAAGTCCGTTTCTATGTGGCACCTAAATACACCTAAATATTTATCGGAACTTGGCTCAGATGATATTATATAGCGCAATCACTTTATTTGGCTTGAATTCTAAAAGGGAATATATCTTACAAATCACATTGAGCGGTCTAAAGTCGACAAGAATTGTAAAGGTCGCCGTCCACTGTTTAGGCGCTCACATTTACGCGCTGAATTTAACATTGGAGTCTATGGGCTGCGCGCTGACTGCGGTTCAGCGCCGAATGCGCGATGAACCACAGTCAGCTGATTATTCGTTGGCTGGTCGTCGCCGAATTACGCGCTGACGAGTTAAAATAATTGAACTTCTCAGCGCGTGCTAGGCGCTGAACGATTGCGCGCTGAATACGCGCCGAACCAGTGGACGGCCACCTTTAAAGTTTTAGTGAAACACAAGTTTGAGACTTCACCTCAGTTGTGGTTTTCACTTTTCGCTCACAAAGTTACAACACATTCTAGTTACAGTTGGTTAGATATTCAAGCCACACTACCACAAAAAAAATGTAATCTCGAAATCTAGACATGGCAATCGCCCTAGCCGTCAGTCGTCACCATGCGAAACCCAACGTTACCATGAACGAAACTACCAACCATTCCTTCCCCAAGGTCAGGTCACCCAGATGACCTTGCCGTGCCTCAAGCGGTCACCATGTGCCCGATGAGTGGTATCCACACACGACCCAATGGGGTAGTTGACCCAAATACCTCGACAGAGTCGGCGCTGGACAGCGGGGGGCTGGAGCCACAGGCGGCATATTGACGGGTTCGGGGCTACGCAGCTGGGAGTTCGACCGGACAGGGGCGCGCACAGGACGGCTATCCAGGAGGCAGGGATGTGAGCAGGATGGCTTTACAGAAGGCAGTAGCGTGACAAGAGTGGCTAGACAGTATGGGCATGAAATGGTCTATTCAACCGAAATGCCCTAAATCAAAACAAAGTCAAAGTCAAGGCTAGACAGACGGCAGTGGCGTATTCGTGTTATGGCTATTTTATATAGTAATTTATCTAATAACTACTTTTGTATAAAACAAACTTAGGTAGCGAATGAATCAACCGCCTGCAGCGCCGGATTCTTCGAGTTTCAAGGTGAAACCATAACAGCCACATAAAGGCAAACGCCCCGGCCTCATGGCTAGCGTATAAAGCTCGGTGCTGAGTAGTTAGCGCTTAATTATCGGCACTTGAAGTAGAGCAGCCTTGAAAAGCTGCTTTGGGTCAGCGTGACGCATGACGAAGCACAGCCTTGAAAGGGTACATGGAGTTAGTACGAGACTAATAGTGAGTGAGCTGGCTCCAGCAAGAGTTATGTGTGTGCAAAAGGCTTAGCGCCAGCCGCGCTGAGGCTTTCGCTGTACGAACAGTATTGATCGTGGGGATTTCGAGTTCGAGGTATTTCCTTGGCTATTTCTGGTTTGTTTTCGGATGATGCATGTTCAATTTATTTTTTGAAGCTAAAACAATCGATTGTCCATGGTTCTATCAAGTATCAACAGCTGTAAAATGAAAATGTCGTACTGAGAAGATACAGTTATCTCATAGTGGATACATACCCATTTCATAGTTCGCTTCAAAATTATCTAAAACCTATGGTAATTGTTGCTCATATTCACTTCAAAACCGTTGTCATTACATATATGTTCGAAAATTATAATAGTCCTACAACTTTCAATCTAAGTGCATATCAAAAAGCTCCTGCTTTGAAAGCATTAATTTTTGAAAGGTAGCCTGTAACGCAACTTTTCAAATCACTGAAATCCTCTCATAAGCTCCCATAACATCCAAAGTGTTTTACTGCAACACCCTCCCACTCGCAAATTACGACTTCTCCCCCACACACCTCCCCCAACCCTTCCTAGTACGACACATAATCCCTTCTTCGCTCCTCACTGCAGCACATCATGCCTTGAGGTCCTTCATATCACTAAGTGCTATTTGTGTGGTAGACAGGTCGAATTTTCTAGCTGCAATGAGGAAGCTCATGAAGCTTCATGTATGGATTGGGATGATCAGGAGGATTATTTTGGGCATTAGAGCGTGGCATTATACCTGGGCGAATAAAGGGCATTGACCTAGCTAAGCTGTTAGGAAAGCCGATTTGAGTGGCGAATTGATTTTACTGTATGCCTGGCCTATTCAAATACATTAGCCTGAGGGGTGTGGTAATAGCTGGTGTAAGTAAAGTGACCACGGTCAAAAACGAATTACCAAGTCAACATTTTGGGATGGCCTCGTTAACCCGCGCCCGGCTGGGGGTCCTGGATTTCCACGCCCTGCTGGGGGGTGTTTGAACACCCCCCCTTGTAACTCGGCTCCTGGGCCACGTAGCGATACGCGGAAGGCGGCGTTCGAAAGAGCGTCAAAAATAATGACGAAATCACTTCCGTCAATTTTTTGGTCAGGTCAAAGGTCAGGTCACCAGAGGTCATTAAAGGCAAAATTTCGCCGATTTCCAGGTCGAATGTCGAAAATTTCCAAGAAGCCAACGCATAACTCGGGAACCAATAGAGCTACAGCGCCGCGGAAAAGCGCATTCGATAGCCCTATTAACGCCCTTTCTGAGTAATTCTCTCAGATTTGACCTAACGTCAACGGTTTTGCCTGCAGGGGGCAAAAACTGCAAAAATAGCCTATTTTTTCGGAAACAGTTTTTTCTGCAATAACTTTTGACCCAAGCCTTGTACGAGCTTACTTTTACCGGCATCGTGTTCCTCTCGTCAAGACGCATCGAATGAACTATAACTTGACCTTGAAAGGTCAACTTGAAAATTTGACCTCAGGTCAAGGTCATGACCTGACCGGAAAGGGTCATGTTGCATATCAGTGGATCCGTACCGTTGAGCTGAACACATCTAAGGCGTTTTCATCGCTCTAACATGCCTCTATCAAAAGTTATTTGCGAAAAACTGTTAGATACCATTCGTGACCTACGATGACCTCAGGGCATAAACAAGGGTCACGGACACTATTTTCATGTTCAGTGTGTCTAAACCACTTGTAATTCGGTGTTTGGGAGTGTTTATAATGTCGTTCGTCCAAAAGAGGCGCATTTCAATTTTCTCCCATTGACTTATAATGGGGAGGTCGCAAAATTGACCTGACCTTAGGTCATCGATATCAAAATTCTGAGATATACATTTTGTACATGCTATTGCTCTTAGCAATCGCCGAAAGTTTCAAAGCGATCGGTCACTCGGTGTAGCTATGACAGACATTGAAACTTTTTATGAGGTGAGGTCACTTCAAGTGACCTGGTGACCTGACCTTGAATGACCTTGGTCTGAAATTTTCACAACATGTGTAGAATTGATGTATCCCGCGCCCCACTGGGGGGGCTATTTATAGCCCCCCCTCCCGTTTTTCTGCAATAACTTCCAAACCGCTTGATGTATCGACGCCAAACTTTCAGTACCTTCGGCTGCATCAATTTGACACCTTGTGTCAAAATTTGAACTTCGTAGCTACCATAGGTCGGCCGGAAATGACGTCAGAGTGACGTCATGTTCGGCCGATTTCGACGCAAAACATCGAACCACGGCAATCGCTCCCAAGGGCTCAGTTTTTAAGCTAGATCCGATTTCTTTGCATGAGAGGACTCAGAATAGACTGCGCTATCAAACTGCTATCTCGGATTTTCGAAATTTTGAAAATTGTGAAAATTGTATATAATAAAATTCAAAATTTACATTTTTACATTTTTTTCAAAAAGTTTTTGACTTTTCGAAAAAAAAAACGGAATATATGTGATAGAACGCGTTATTATGACTAACTCTAGCAAGTTTCAGCTAAATATCTTTAAAAATGGCCAAGTTATACGCATTATTGCAAAAAAATTCACAATTATTAATTTTTCAAATCAACTTTTCACCACGTATTTGACATCGTACGCCAATATAAATAGCACCATAGTGTTCTTGAGCTCAAATTGCATCCAATAGGCACCCTTTCTGTTGAAAAATTATAACTTCAAAATTTGACCTTTTTTGACCTGAAAGTGACCTGACCTAAGCTAAATTCGACTCAAAATGACCTCGAATGACACAGACGACATCAAATTCGAAATCTTTGGCCTAAATGGACCATAAAACATGTGTCACGTGACCGACGCATGATATAATATTTTCGTGACCTGTGATGACCTGACCTTGACCTAAAAATCAAAGTAAAAGTTTGGTACCCTTAGGGTATCTAGAGCATCTATTCACGAGTGTGTGAACCAAAAATTAGCCTGATCTGACTTGTAGGACGGCGGCCAGAGCCCAAAACGTGCACAAACCAAAATGCTAATAATTTTTACTTTGACCTGACCTGTGACGTCATCGGTGACCTCGAGGTGAATGAAATTAGGTTTCGCTCGACAGTTTTTCCGGGGCTATCAGACGCCGTTTGAACTTTGACGATCGGCACAGTAGTTTCGGAGTTAGGAGGGGGGCTATGAATAGCCCCCCCCCCAGTAGGGCGTGTTATACGCAGACCCCAGTGGGGCGCGGGGTATGATAAGGTGTACCAAAAACGGCGGCGCTCCGCGCCGCCGTTTTTTAGATATTCGCGAAAAACCACAAGGGGGTGTTCAAACACCCCCCCCCCCCAGCAGGGCGCGGGTTAAAAAAATGGCTAAAGGCCGCCGTCCACTGCGACGGAATTCCGTCCGGAGTCCGTCAGGAATGTCGCCGCACGCTGACCGCATCCGGACCGCAGACGGAAAGCTCACGGACACTTGCTAACACTTTGTGAAGAGCAATTATCAGTTATTACAAAAGAAAATATAGCAATTTACTAGCATAACATAGTGCTGCCATGTCAAAGAAATTATGTTTACTTACTTCATCTTGAAAGAGTTGAAATTATTTCTTAAATTTGCAATTGAAAACTCGAAGACGGAAGAATGTACCTGTCCGCGTCCGTTCCGCCTGCGTTCTCCGCAGAAAAGTTCAACATGTTGGACTTTGTTATTTCGTTTCCGTAGCAACCGCTTCCGAAACATTTGGGAGATCATTAGCGATCAATCTAGAAAGCCCGAAATCGTGGTTTTTCTTTGAACATTTAGACGACATAGAAATAGTTATAGTAGCATTAGCGAACATAGTTATTTATGAAGCTAGATACAATAAAATAGTTCCTAACATAGTATCTCTCAAAAATAAACTTAAAAGGGAAGCCGAAGCCGAGTTATACATGGCTAAGCAGGCTAAGCAGTCAAATCTCTTACACACATTCGAAAAGAAATGGGACAAAGTCAAACAAGTGTGCGACATTCAGCCGGAAACTACATTAAACCAGAGAACGACTTAGAGAACTTACTTACAGTCATCCAAAAACTTAAAATCATCAATCCAAAACTCATTCATGTATCAATCCACACATCGTCACAACATTCACAAAAGCAGCGCATTGCTGTACATGGTATGCTTCTGAGGTTACTGCGTGTGATCCTTAGCTTCCTATCCTATCATCCCCAGAATCCAGTCCTCTATCTTTCAGCGTTCCCCAAGATGATGCTGGCGGCGGGCTGGCTGCGGAGGCGTGCGCCGGCTGGCCCACGCGCCGGTCTGGAGACGGCCATTAACTAGTCCGATATTAACCCGCGCCCGGCTGGGGGTCCTGGATTTCCACGCCCTGCTGGGGGGGGGGGGTGTTTGAACACCCCCCCTTGTAACTCGGCTCCTGGGCCACGTAGCGATACGCGGAAGGCGGCGTTCGAAAGAGCGTCAAAAATAATGACGAAATTACTTCGGTCAATTTTTTGGTCAGGTCAAAGGTCAGGTCACCAGAGGTCATTGAAGGCCAAATTTCGCCGATTTCCAGGTCGAATATCAAAAATTTCCAAGAAGCCAACGCATAACTCGGGAACCAATAGAGCTACAGCGCCGCGGAAAAGCGCATTCGATAGCCCTATTAACGCCCTTTCTGAGTAATTCTCTCAGATTTGACCTAACGTCAACGGTTTTGCCTGCAGGGGGCAAAAACTGCAAAAATAGCCGATTTTTTCGGAAACAGTTTTTCGGGAATAACTTTTGACCCAAGCCTTGTACGAGCTTACCTTTACCGACATCGTGTTCCTCTCATCAAGACGCATCGAATGAACTATGACTTGACCTTGAAAGGTCAACTTGAAAATTTGACCTCAGGTCAAGGTCATGACCTGACCGGAAAGGGTCATGTTGCATATCAGTCGATCCGTATCGTCGAGCTGAACACATCTAAGGCGTTTTCATCGCTCTAGCATGCCTCTATCAAAAGTTATTTGCGAAAAACTGTTAGATACCATTCGTGACCTAAGATGACCTCAGGGCATAAACAAAGGTCACGGACACCATTTTCATGTTCAGTGTGTCTAATCCACTTGTAATTCGGTGTTTGGGAGTGTTTATATTGTCTTTCATCCAAAAGAGGCGCATTTCAATTTTCTCCCATTGACTTATAATGGGGAGGTCGCAAAATTGACCTGACCTTAGGTCATCGATATCAAAATTCTGAGATATACATTTTGTACATGCTGTTGCTCTTAGCAATCGCTGAAAGTTTCAAAGCGATCGGTCACTCGGTGTAGCTATGACAGACA